GCAGTATGAGCGCTGGGTTGCGAGGCTGCCTGCAGCCCCTGCAGCGCCGGTTCGATCCCCGGCTGCTCCCCGGCCACCGGAGGAGGGTCCCACATGGCGCGCAGACTCTCCTGCCGCCCGCTGCTCCCCTCGGCGGTGTGCTTCGGTCCTTCTGCCTGCTCTGCTCCCTGCTCTGGCTCTGGTGAGTTCTCTCACCTTCCCGCGCTTCTGACTGTACCCAGTGCTTGTATAAATAAATAAATAAATAAATCTTTAAATAAATAAATAAATAAGGAAGAGAAAATACACTTTAAAAAAAAAAAAAGACTGATGTATTTTTACTTTTAAAAAATAAAGGCATAAAATCCTGACCAAAAAAAAAAAACCAAAATAGGGAAAGAAGTGAAACTATCATTATATGCAGATGATATGATAATATAGAGAATCCTAAAAACACCACAGAAAAACTAATTAAAACAATAAACCAAATTAGTAAAGTAGCAGGTTACAAAATCAATCAACAAAAATCAGTAGCCTTTCTATATGAAAACAATCAATCTCAAGAGGAAGAAATTAAGAAAGCCATCCCATTTACAATTGTACCCCAAAAATTAAATACCTGGGAATACACCTAACAAAAGAGGTAAAAGACCTATACAAGGAAAACTACGAAACACTGTTAAAAGAAATAGAAGAAGACACAAAGAAATGGAAAGATATTCCCTTGCTCATGGATCAGAAGAATCAACATCATAAAAATGTCCATCCTACTAAAAACAATTTATAGATTAATGCAATTCCAATAAAAATCTCAATGACATTCTTCAGAGAAATAGAACAAATGCTGATGAAATGCATATGGAACCACCAAGATCCCCGAATAGCAAAAGCTCTCCTGACTAAAACGGGGAAGAACAGAGGCATTACACTCCCAGACTTCAAATAATACTACAAAGTCATTATTATAAAAACCTCATGGTATTGGAACAAAAACACACAGCGAAACCAATGGAATAGAATTGAAAGCCCAGAAATAAAACTACATATATATGGTCAACTAATATACAACAAAGGAGCAAAGAATATACACTGGAACAAGGAGAACCTCTTCAATAAATGGTTTTAGGAAAACAATTGCAACATGCAAAAAAATGAAACGCGACTACTATCTCACACCACATACAAAAATCAACTCAAAATGGATAGAAGACTTGAATGTAAGACCTGAAACCATAAAATATAGAAGAAAACACAGGCAGAACATTCCATGACACAAACCTCAGAAACAGCTTTGAGGAATCTTCTCCAGAAGCAAGGAAAACAAAGGAGATAAACAGCCGGGACTACATCAAACTTAAACGATTCTCTACAGCACAAGAGCTAATAATCAAAACAAAGAGATTTCCTAGTGAGTGGGGAAAATACTTTCACACTGTTTGACAGATAAGGGACTGATAACAAAGACCTACAAAAATTTACATAACACAAACAAGCCAGTCCGAAAATGGGGCAAAATAACTAAAAAAGACACTTCTCCAAAGAAGAAAGGGAAATGGCCAACAGGCATATGAAAAATTGCTCAACACACTAGTTATCAGGGAAATGAAAATCAAAACCACAATGAGATACCACCTCCCTCCAGTAAGAATGGCCCACATTAAAAGAAAGTGGAAACAACAAATACTGAAGAGGATGTGGAAATAAAGAAACATATGAAAAATTGCTCAACACACTAGTTATCAGGGAAATGAAAATCAAAACCACAATGAGATACCACCTCCCTCCAGTAAGAATGGCCCACATTAAAAGAAAGTGGAAACAACAAATACTGAAGAGGATGTGGAAATAAAGAAACATTCTTACACTGCTGATGAGAATGTAAACTGGTCTAGCCACTATAGAAAGCTGTGTGGAGGTGCCTCAGACACTAAAAATGAATCTACCATATGGTCTAGCGAGTCCACTGTTAGGAATCAACCCGAAGGACACAAAAACACTAATTTGAAAGGAAATCTGCAACCTATGTTTATTGCAGCACTATTTACAATAGCCAAGATAAGGAAATGCCCCAGAATAGACAAATGGATCAAAAAGTTACGGTACATCTATACAATGGACTACTTCTCAGTGATCAAAAAAAGACAAACTCATGCCATTTGTGGCAAAATGGATGGAGCTAGAACAGGTTACAGAAGCCAAAATTAGTCAGAAGGAAAAAGATAAGCACTGAATGGTCCCAATTATATGTGGAATATAGAGGAACCAAACGAGAGGTCAAGAAAAAGTCAAAACCAGCAAGCTAACTATAGAAATGAGGCATACAGCAAAGGAGAGGGTAAGAGGGTGGGAAAAACAGCTGAGGGATGAACACAAATGATATGGTGATGGTTCATAGGTGATATGGTGGTAGGAGAACTATGGGGACTACAACAATGTAAGAAAAAAAAGAAATAAAATAAGTAAATAAAATAAGTAAATAAAATAAATAACAACAACAACAAAACAGTTGTTGGACTATTAAAAAATAAGACCCAACTCTTGTGCCTAAAAGAAACTCACTTTAAAGTCATAGCTTAATAGCAAAATTACTTCCAAAAGAATACCATGTTTGAGCGTCTCTGGTGGTGCAGGGGTAAAGATACAGCGCTATCAAGCTATTGGCAGCCACTGCAACATGATTCGATCCCTGACCACAGAGGTGACCCATATGGCACAGCAGACCTCTGTCTCTTTTGCTGCTCCCCTCAGCAGTGTATTTCAGTAGATCTGCCTACTCTGCTCCCCACTCTGTCTCTGGCGAATCCTAGCACCCTGCACCTCTGGCCTACACCCCAGTTCTTGTATGCATAAATAAATAAATTAAAAAAAAAAGAATACTGGGCCTCCCTGGTGGCGCAGGGGGTTGAACATCGCACTATGAAGCAATTCGCAGCCTCTGCAGCATGAGTTCAATCCCTGGCTGGCCAGGAAGCAACCCACATGGCACAGCAGTCCTCTCCTGTCTTGCCCGCTGCTCCCCTCAGCAGTGTATTTCAGTCAGTCTACCTGTTCTGTTCCCCACTCTGTCTCTGGTGAATCCTCTCACCCCCCCCCAACCCCATATCTCTGGCCTGTACCCCAGCTCTTCTGTGCATAAATAAATAAATCTTAAAAAAAAAAAAGAGAATACCATGTTTAAAAAAATACTTATAAAAATTATACAATAAAAATACTTTTATCAAAGGTATTCAATGAAATTAAAAATAAATTCTCCCAGTAGATAACCACTATATATTTTTAAAGATTTATTTATGTATGTATACAAGAACTGGGGTGGTCAGAGGTGGGGGGGTGAGAGGATTCACCAGAGACAGAGAGGGGAGCAGAACAGGTAGATCTACTGAAATGCACTGCTGAGGGGAGCAGCAGGGCAGACAGGAGAGGTCTGCCACACCTTGAGGGTTAGCTTCCTGGCTGGAGATCAAACTCATGTTGCAGTGGCGATAGCTTGATAGCACTGTGTCTTAACCCCTGCACCACCAGCAAGGCCCTAGATAACCAAACATTCTAGCTAACATCATTCAAGGTACTCACCTATGCACTTTTGTACTTTTACATAAATGAAATTAGGTTGTTTGTAACCTCTTTTTCATACCTAATGTGTCATAAACATTATTTTTTTTTAAGATTTATTTATTTATTTATTCAAGCACTGGGTACAGTCAGAAGCGCAGGAGGGTGAGAGAATTCACCAGAGCCAAAGCAGGGAACAGAACAGGCAGATCGATGAAATACACTGCTGAGGGCGTGGCAGGAGAGGTCTGTCGTGCCATGTGGGACCCCCGCCCCCGGCAGCCGGGGATCAAACCGGTGCTGCAGAGGCTCCGGGCAGCTTTGCAGTCCAGCACTCAACCGCTGAGCCACCAGGGGAGGCACTAATGTGTCATAAACATTATGAAAGTACATCAATTAAAAAAAAAAAGCTGGTGGGCCTCCCCGGTGGCGCAGCGGTTGAGCGCTGGGTTGCGAAGCTGCCCGCGGCCTCTGCGGCGCCGGTTCGATCCCCAGCTGCTCCCCGGCCACCGGAGGAGGGTCCCACATGGCGCGCAGACTTCTCCTGCCGCCCGCTGCTCCCCTCAGCAGTGTACTTCGGTCCTTCTGCCTGCTCTGCTCCCCGCTCTGGCTCTGGTGAATTCTCTCACCCTCCCGTGCTTCTGACTGTACCCCCAGTGCATGTATAAACAAAACAAATAAATAAAACATGCCTCTATTTAAAAAAATTAAAAAAAAAAAATTAAAAAAAAAATTAAAAAAAAAAGCTGGAGTGGCTATATAAATATTAACTAAAAACTATATCACACTATAAGTGATAAAATAAGGAATACTTTTAAGGATACCATAAAAAATAATAAAGAATATTTCAAATATTTTCTTAATATGGAAGAAAAAAGAGCAGGAATAGGCCAGATACTTTCCTGAAGGATAAGAACAAGGAAATTGTATGGAAAATATGTTCAAAATTATTAGTAATTAGACTAAAAAAATTAAAATTTGGACACTACAAAGTTAGTGAGAAAGTGGACCAATGGAAATTCAAACATTCTAGTGGGCATGCAAATCACTACCACATGTTGAAAAATGTTTTGCACACTCTGTAAAGTTGACTACTTGCAGATCTGATGACTGGAAATCCATGGTTTGTTGCATAGCTTAAAGAAATACACATGAAACTGGAAAATATGTAGAAGAATGTTCATCATAGTGGCAGTATTTGAATATGCAACACTTTGAAATCAACTCATGTTGAATCAACATTAACGGAAAAATTATTCTATATTCATAAAGTATTCTGTATAGCAATGAAAACAACTGAACTACAACAATACACATAGCTATGGATGAATCTTAAAAACAATGTGGAACAAGATGAGCCCATCATGAAGTGGCACACAGGGCTCTTTCATTTATTTGGATTCAAGAACAGACAAAATTAAATGTGCTTACAGATACATGTATAATTGGCAAAACCATTAACCACTCACTTTGGAAAATATTTGGCATGGTCTTCTAATGGGCCATCACCTTCCTTCCACTTCAAATATCCTCCACAGGAAAAGCATTGAAGTTTGTCCTTTATCCCTAGAGGTAAGGAAATCTGATCAGTATGATTGGCATGTGTATACCTTAGTGACACGGGTATTATCCACCATGGCTTTATTAGCAAAACCCTACTTTCATTTCTAACTAGATTTTGTGACAAAGTTACAAGTTGGGCCACCAGCAATATTCCTCTTAGACTCTTCTCCCACGAATGGGGTGACGAGCAAACAGTTACTGAAGGCTCCTATGTACCAGCAGTTGATGAGCACCTTTCTCCCTCTAGTCCTATTTTCCTGCCATGGAGAGAGAGCTTTGCAAATCAGAATGTGGAAATGAAGCTCAATAGAGGAAGAGAATTTTGTCTGTTTTGCTCACTAGTGAATTTCATGGACTTTGAAGAGTGCCTAGCATTTACTAGACCCTCAATAAATATTTATTTAATGAATAAATCAGAAATGTATTTGAAGCTCAAAGAAAAAAAAGTGAAAAAAATGTAGTGGCCCTCATGTGAGCTCATAAAGAATCAAATGCCTCTTACCACATTATTCTCAGAACTAGAGTCAAGGCTCCTCTGAGACTATTTCTTTGGAATGAAATAGGCATTTGGATGTGCCAAAGGATGGAACAAGAAATTACCCTCCATCATTTCACCATTTCATGCTTGAAGCCCTGTAATCACTGCAAACCTAGAACAAAGGAAAACCTCCCTTTGTGTCTGGCCAAGATTAGCAGGTCCTAGAGTGTGCAAGACTGGAAAAAGGTAAAAGGACTAGGATTTGTGTGAAGAGGTGGAGCTTCAAAGAGGAAGAGGCTGAAGACAATAAAGAGAGGGTCCATGAAGAAGGTGGGCAAAAGGAAGACAGAACAGAGAGCAGGGAGAACATTGCCTTTCTAAATGCTTATTAAGATTGTGTGGCATTTTTATACCAATGGAATACATGTGTTATTGTGACCACTACTTTGCCCTACTATGTATTGTTCTGTGATACCAGCTTGACCTCTCAGGAAAAGATCTGCATGAACCTGTACTGTAGTTCAGTGTGTATTCAGTCTAAAGGTCAACAAAGTACCTAGAAAGGCACAATATCTTTTCTCTGATCACCTTGGGTAGAAATTTAGCCAAGGGAAACCAGCACAGTATAGATTAGAATGGAACTTCCTGAGGATCTGCAGCTAAAAGGAGAATACTGTGAACTGCTAAAAAGTTCTACATGTTTAGGAATCAAAGAATTTCCTGGTGTGTCACAGACTTGGTCCCAGGTCTTGCATATTTGTTCTTTTCCCTGCCCAACCAAGGCTTCTCCTGTAACTATGCCCTGTCAGATACTCAGTCAGACCAAGCATCCTAGCTTGAGCCCCCTCTGCATTCATTGCAGCCAAAGACCCTGGAGCAGCACTGTATGTCATGCATGTGGCTTTGTTCAATTCAGATGTCATTTGGGGCAGAAAAAATAACCCAGGACCCTGGAACAAACTGGGTCTTAGTAATTACTTCAAGTTCTAAGTGAATGTAGATTACAGAAAGAGGATCAAAAAAGGTACGATTTCTGAATGAAATATCTCACTATAAAGCTGCTTAAAATTAAGGACTTCCAGAAAGCACCATACAATTTTCCACTTACCAGGAAATGTATCTCCTCTAGATGCACAAAATCATGTCAGTGTATTGTGTTTGGTTTACACTGATAAGTAAATATCTGAAACTTTAAATTGCTGAACATGGATGGAGCTGGAAGGGATTATGCTCAGTGAAATAAACCAGAAGGAAAAAGAAAAAAATATCGGTGGTTTCACTTATAGGAGGAATGTAGGGGAACAAAATATGGGACCGGGAAAAAAAAATAATTATAATAAATTAAAAAACAAAATTAACTGGCAACTACTAATCAGAGACACTCTTCAGGGGAGGAGGAGGGAGAGGGAAAATAGGGGAAGGAATGTGTTCTAACACAAGGGACTACGGTAATGATAGTAAATTGGTGGTGGGAATTTTGCGGGGACTACTCCTGAGAGGAAAAAGCACGCATCAAACAAAAATGAAGAATGATGAAAATATATATAAAATTAAATTAAATTAAAAAATAATTTGCTGGCTTTCTCTTTCAAGGAGAATGTGAAAAAGTCTTCTGCTCTCCACACTCCCAGTATCTCTCACTCTTCCATAATGACAGAAGTCCCAATTTTTAGCTGGGGATGTTACCCTACAGAAAAAAAGCTTAAAGATCTCAGCTCCTTTCCATCTGACTACTAAATCTGTATTAAAGATAGGGAAGCAGAGGATAATGTGACAGTTTCTAGGAGCAAGAGTAAGGAAGAAAGTAATGTGTAGAAAGTAAAAGAAATGACAATTATTCCAAACAGAAAACTTATATTATTGTTAGTCCATATTTTAAGGTTTCACATTTGGAGCTTCACTACTTAAGAGACATATGGAAAACTAGTTGAGGATTTATGATACAGCCAGGAAAAGGGATATATAAGGACTGATTCAAAGAATGGAAAACATGAGTCTAGATAAATACAAGGCCAGGATTATGTATATGTGGGGTTGAAATGGCTAGCAAGGCAAGAGCTTGGTACAAACTGCTGACTCACCTGTATAGAAAAGACCTGCTTTGGCCAGAGCTGCCACTCCCACAGGGGATGCCTGGGGCCAGTTCTTAAAAGAGTCCAGTCGTAGTTCTTCATTAGCAAAGATGCTGTCATTGCAATAACCTTGAATAAAAGGTATATGGTGAGATCAGCAAGCTCTGATATTAAAAGTATTGGTGTTCAAGTTATCCCTCCCTATTTACAAATGAAATAATGTAATGCATGGATATTATTTCAATATATTACTGGACAAGGAGTTAAAAGAAAAGAAAGAGGTATAGATACAACAAGACTGAGCCTCTGTCAGAAATGCTGAAGCACAGTGGTAGTTATATGGTGGGTATCTAGTAAATTGACTTATTTCTACAATAGTCATTTTCTTTCTTTCTTAAAAAATATTTATTTATTTATTTATTTAAGAACCGGAGTACAGGCCAGATGCATGGGAGGGTGAGAGAATTCACCAGAGACAGAGCGGGGAACAGAACAGGCAGACTGATGAAGTACACTGCTGAGGGGAGCAGCAGGTGAGACAGGAGAGGTCTGCTGCGCCACATGGGACCCTCGCCAGCCAGCTGGGATCGAACCAGTGCTGCAGAGGCTGCGGGCAGCTTCACAGTGCGGCACTCAACCACCTGCACCACCAGGGGAGGCCGGGTCATTTTTTATTTTAAAGATTTATTTTACTCATTTATGCATACAAGAGCTAGCGTGCAGGGGCGGGAGTGAGAGCATTCACCAGAAACAGAGTGGGGAGCAGAACAGGCAGATCTACTCAAATTCCCTGCTGAGGGGAGCAGAGGGCGAGGCAGTAGAAGTCTGCCACGAGATGTGGCTTAGCTCCCTGGCTGGGGATTGAACTCGTGCTTCAGTGGCTGCTGATAGTTTCATAGTGCTGAAACTTAACCCCTTGCGCCACCAGGGAGGCCCTGTTCATTTTTTCTCTAAGAAAGCATTTTAAAATTATCTCTTCTTCATTTAGTATCAAAATAAAACAAGGAAAGGTACTGAAGTTTCCTCTCTTCCCTAGGTCAGTGTCAAGATTTGAGAAAGGCAATATCCAGATAGCTCTCTTAACAACAGACAGATTTATTTCCTGCATTTTGAGGTGTCCACTCAATGGGGTAGTCCTTTGGGCTTCCTAAGTTGGACTGGCTGGAGACTTGGTTCCTGTTTTCTACATGGGTGAGAATTTGAAACTAAATGTATGCTAACTTGTTTCTGCAAATTATGAACCTTAAATGAAAGTTTGACTCAGTGTCCCACTTACCCTGGGGTTCCTGCTGCCACCACATTACAAATCTGAATATGTCTGAGTCATTACCTGGTGGTATAGGTAAATCTCTCTTGACCCAGGAATTCACAAAATGGTCTCCCTGAGGAAAATTCAGATTAAAGTTAAAATTCAAGTTATCAACAGTTTGGCTTATAAAGTTTATACCTATCAATGAATTAAAAAAACTCACTTCCCCCAAATGAACAGTTTTATTGAACTGAGTGGCATGCCTGTTGGAGACTCATTCCCTTAATTTTTTTTAAAGATTTATTTTTATTTATTCATACAAGAACTGGGGTGTAGGCCAGAGGTGCAGGGGAGTGAGAGGATTCACCAGAGACAGAATGGGGAGCAGAACAGGCAGATTGACTGAAATACACTGCTGAGGGGAGCGGTGGGCAATATAGGAGAGGTCTGGTGCGCCATGTGGGTTAGCTCCCTGGCCAGGGACTACTCATGCTGCAGTGATAGCACTGAGACTTTTAACCCCTGCACCTCCAGGGAGGCCCTCCCTTAATTTTTTTATTAATGTTGGCATTTTTAATGCAGTACAAAAGAAAAACAAGCCTGGGAATGTTTACTTATACCCGACAAGAAACTTCGGGTCATGTTTTTTTAGAACTCCAGCTTAAAAGTGAAGTCACTTTTTTGATTTCTTCTTCTTCAGATTTATTGTTTGTGTATAGGAAGGCTACTGACTTTTGCATGTTGATTTTGTATCCTGCCACTTTACTGAACTGATTGATGAGTTGAATTAGCTTTTCTGTGGAGTTTTTGGGGTTCTCTATGTATAATATCATATCATCTGCAAATAGTGATAGTTTGACTTCTTCTTTTCCTATTTGGATTCCTTGGATGTCTTTCTCTTGTCTTATTGCCCTGGCTAGGACTTCCAGTATTATATTGAAAAGCAGTGGTGAGAGTGGACATCCTTGTCTTGTTCCAGATCTTAATGGAAACAGCTGGGACTACATCAAATTAAAGAGCTTCTGCACAGCAAAAGAGACAATAACAAAAACAAAGAGAAACCCCACCAACTGGGAGAACATTTTTGCACCCAACACTAATGATAAAGGACTGATCACAAAAATCTGCAAAGAGCTGATGAGACTCAACAACAACAAAGAAAATAATCCAGTCAAAAAATGGGCAGAAGAGCTAAAAAGAAACTTCTCTGAAGAGGAAATGCAAATGGCCAACAGGCATATGAAAAAATGTTCAACATCACTTGCCACCAGGGAAATGCAAATCAAAACTACCATGAGATACCATCTTACACCAGTGAGAATGGCACATATTAAAAAAACTAGCAACAACAAATGTTGGCGAGGGTGTGGAGAAAAAGGAACTCTTCTGCACTGTTGGTGGGAGTGCAAACTGGTACAACCACTGTGGAGAGCTGTGTGGAGATTTCTGGACCTACTAAACATAGAGCTTCCATATGATCCAGCAATTCCACTCCTAGGTATTTACCCAAAGGACACAGAAACATCAATTCCAAAGAACACCTGCACCCCTATGTTTATAGCAGCACTGTTTACAATAGCTAAGCTTTGGAAACAACCCAAATGCCCAAAAATAGATGACTGGATCAAGAAGATGTGGTACATATATACCATGGAATATTACTCAGCATTCAAAAAAGATAAACACATGCAATTTGCAGCAACATGGATGGCGCTGGAAGGGATCATGCTCAGCGAAATAAGCCAAAAAGAAAAAGAAAAATACCGGATGGTCTCACTCATAGCAGGAATCTAGAAAACTTAAATAAGGGACCAGGAAAATGAATAACTATAAGAAAGTGAAAATCAAAATCAACAAAAAACTATGAACCAGAGACACTTTTAGGGGGGCGGGGGCGGGAGGGGAGGGATTGGGTCAGAATGGGGGGGCTGCAATTGTATGGGGAATATAACAATAAAATTTATAAAAAAAAAAAAAAAAGTGACGTCACTTAAGGTTTTTAACAATTTACTGTAATTAATGAGGAAATATGAAATAACAGGAAGGAAACTGGACTCAGAAGTGGGTTTGGTATTGAGCAATGGATCTTCCCTGATCATTGCACCCCAACTTCTGAGAAAACACACCTCTCCCACCTTCAGGCCACGTCCTGTGCAGCATTCTCATCTGAGACACACATTAGCCAATAAACTCACTTAAGTCAATCTGGGTTGGGTTTTCTGTCCTTACCACTAGGGAATTATCTTTTACAAGCATCAAGTCCCTACTGATAGGACATAAAATAACCCAGGGGGGCCTCCCCTGGTGGCGCAGTGGTTTGGCGCTGGGCTGCGAAGCTGCCCGCAGCCTCTGCAGCACCAGTTTGATTCCTGGCCACGGGTGAGCGTCCCACATGGCGCGCAGACCTCTTCTGCCACGCCCGCTGCTCCCCTTAGCAGTGTGTTTCATCAGTCTGTCTGTTCTGTTCCCTGCTCTGGCTCTGGTGAATTCTCTCATCCTCCCATGCTTCTGACTATACCCAGTGCTTGTATAAATAAATAAATATAAATAAATAAATAAATAAATAAATAAATCTTTAAAAAAAAAAAAATAACCTGGGAGATGGCAGCAGCTCTGAGACCTACTGTGGGCAGTTATATGGAGGGCCGAATATCTCATTCACATGGGCACTGAGAAGCGGGCAGCCTCAAAAGGCAACTAACTCTAAGGGCTTGAATTTAGTAGGAGAACATGCATTTCTTCACTGCCAGATGAGTTGTAGAATAATGAAAGAAGGAAAAACCAGACCCTGAAAAAAGAATCCGCCCCTTCTAATTCCGATATTATTAGATAGTCAAAAGCCAATTTGGGAAAACCAATTGTTGTTATAAATTACCGTGACGCCAACAAATCCTTTGTAGCTCTCAATATACTGGGCAATTTCTTTTGAAGATTTCTTACTTTGAAGAAACTCACATCTATAATTAATAAACAAAATTTACCTTGATATTGTGATAAAAATCCTTTATCTATTAATGTGGTGATGGTTGCACAGAACATTCATTAAATTTATTGCTGTATACTTAAAATTGTTTATTTATTATACTTTGATAAAAGTGTCCAAAAAATACCCCAAAAGTTATTTATGAGAATTATCATTGTTCCCATCAAATTATTTCCATTAGTAAGATCATCTATAATAAATTTATATTATAAGCAATAATTTTATTTTATTTTTTTTTTTAAAGATTTATTTATTTATTGATACAAGCACTGGGTACAGTCAGAAGCGCGGGAGGGTGAGAGAATTCACCAGAGCCAGAGCAGGGAGCAGAACAGGCAGAAGGACCGAAGTACACTGCTGAGGGGAGCAGCGGGCGGCAGGAGAGGTCTGCGTGCCATGTGGAACCCTCCTCCAGTGGCCAGGGAGCAGCCGGGGATCGAACTGGCGCTGCAGAGGCTGCGGGCAGCTTCTCAACCCAGCGCTCAACTGCTGCTCCACCAGGGAGGCCCATAAGTAATAATTTTAAATTAAAGCTGCAGATTATCTTTTTTCTTGAAACAAAATATGTAACACAGGGCCTCCCCAGTAGCGCAGTGGTTGAGCGCTGGGTTGCGGGGCTGCCCGCGGCCTCTGCGGCGCCGGTTCGATCCCCGGCTGCTCCCCGGCCACCGGAGGAGGGTCCCACATGGCGCGCAGACCTCTCCTGCCGCCCGCTGCTCCCCTCAGCAGTATACTTCAGTCCTTCTGCCTGCTCTGCTCCCTGCTCTGGCTCTGGTGAATTCTCTCACCCTCCCGCGCTTCTGGCTGTACCCAGTGCATGTATAAACAAAACCAAACAAACGAACAAATAAATAAATAAATAAAACATGCCTCTGTAAAAAAAACAAAAAAACAAAATATGTAACACAATCAAAGAAAGTGACTTACAAAAAACATGTAAGTTGCAGTATTTTGCTTAACTATAATGAATAAATCTAGTTACTGTGGTTGTATAAAACTTACTGGTAGTAAGAGAAACTATATAAAAATTATTTTATCTCCTGACCAAAATACATAATCATACCTCAAACAGAAATTACTAATTTATTTTATTTTATTTTTTTTTAATAGAGGCATGTTTATTTATTTGTTTGTTTGTTTGTTTTGTTTATACATGCACTGGGTACAGTCAGAAGCGCGGGAGGGTGAGAGAATTCACCAGAGCCAGAGCGGGGAGCAGAGCAGGCAGAAGGGCCGAAGTACATTGCTGAGGGGAGCAGCGGGCAGCAGGAGAGGTCTGCGCACCATGTGGGACCCTCCTCCGGTGGCCAGGGAGCAGCCGGGGATCGAACCGGTGCCGCGGAGGCCGCGGGCAGCTTCGCAACCCAGCACTCAACCACTGTGCCACCGGGGAGGCCCAGAAATTACTAATTTTTTGCAAAGCATATTGAATCCCATTTCAAATAAGACATTCCTTTCTATTGAAGAGAACCAGTTCTTAAATAAACTTTAAAAATCCCTCTAATTCAAATTCAGTTTTATTGTCTAGTGGTGGTATAGTAACAAATGTGCTAGAGGTCAAGAGTTTAGAATGTTAGTCCCAGTTTTGCCATAAACAGGGATGTGACACGTTTTCTTTTATTTTTTAAGATTTATTTTTATTTATTTATGCATACAAGAACTGGGGTGTAGGCCAAAGGTACAGTGGGGCTTAGAGGATTCACCAGAGGCAGAGTTGGGAGCAGAACAGGTGCATCTACTGAAATACACTACTGAGGGGAGCAGTGGGCAACACAGGAGAGGTCTGCTGCACCATGTGCCTTAGCTCCCTGGCGGGGGATTGAACTCATGCAAAAGTGGTTAGCTATAGCTTGATAGTGCTGAGACTTTAACCTCTGTGCCAACAGGGAGGCCCTAATAATTTGGTTATTATTATTTCCAAGGGAAAAGGTGGGTGAGAGACGGATGGAATTAATTGGGCCAATGTTCATAAGTGTTGATTATATTATAGTTCCTTCTTTTCTGTCAAATTTTCCATAATAAAAGTACTAAAAACTTGTAAAGAATGATTCTGTATTTGTTATATATAATACCAAATAAAAATATTAAATACAGCATTAAATTAAAAATATATTCCATTTTCTAATCAAAACTGAATTTTTAAGGTAAAATAATTTGCTATACATTCAGCAGTATACCAACTCAGTAATGTTTAAACATTGTTTTTTATTTCCAACTTCCTTTACATAGCCTTACATCATAGCTATTATAATCATTCTTATTAAGGCAGGTCCTGAAACCTCTCCTTGGCAAAACATTTTAGCACTTGGAACAATTAAACAACATTCCTCAAACTATTTTAAAATTATATTATTCAGATTTTTCAAGATGCAATCAGGTCTTTCTTGCTTGGATAAATTCAAGAGTGTTGCAATTTTGGATAGATCAAAACTGAAGGGGGTATTCCAGGAAGGTGTTTTTGTCTTGTTGTTTTAAGAAAACTGATAATTACATTAAGCAGAAAATATTTATGTACTTACCTGGGGAACCACTTGGCATGTTCCTTCCAAGGATCATCTCCTTCTTCCCAGTTTCCTAAACATCCACCACAAGAAAAGCACTGCACAGTGTCCCGTTTACCTACATGTGAAGGAAAAACTTTCAATTACCCTGTAGTGCTCTGGTAAGGTAGTCCAGAAGCCCACTCGGAGCTGACTGCCCTTGGCACCTGCGACAATCACTCCAGCATGTCTGACTCACACCCATCTCGTTGAGTTTCCACTTACAGACCCGCTGCCCAATATGACCACTTTCTAAACTGGGACCCCACCCCTTGGCCCTGGCCATACTTCACATACAGAACTGGATGTTTCCCTCAGTATATCTATCCCAGTCGCTTTCTGGTCCGGGTTTTTGCTATTTAGCTCTCAGGAAAAAAAGCAGTGGGGAAGCAGAGAAACCCCAGCACTCATGAAGCAGAGAAACCCCAGCACAGTGAGAATACCCAGCTTGTAGCTTTTCTTTTTTTTTAAGATTTATTTATTTATTTATTTGTTTGTTTGTTTGTTTGTTTGTTTATACATACCAGCACTGGGTACAGTCAGAAGCGCGGGAGGGTGAGAGAACTCACCAGAGCCAGAGCAGGGAGCAGAGCAGGCAGAAGGACTGAAGTACACTGCTGAGGGGAGCAGCGGGCAGCAGGAGAGGTCTGCGCGCCATGCGGGACCCTCCTCTAGTGGCCGGGGAGCAGCCAGGGATCGAACCGGCACTGCAGAGGCTGCAGGCAGCTTCGCAACCCAGCGCTCAACCGCCACCGGGGAGGTCCCCAGCTTGTAGCTTTGTCCTGAAATTTCCGTGAAGAATTATGCACCTTTCTTAAATGCCTGGAGTCTCCATATAATCAACTGTGAAATGGGGGCAACAAAAGTTAGTGCTTCATTTGGGGATTAGAGTTAGTGCTTCATTTGTGCCTAGCATCAAGCAGGTACTTGGTAAATAATAGCTGTTATTGTTATTACAGTCCTTGTTCACATCTATCATAACCTTTATGGCATAACAAGGACAATTCAAAGTACAATTTTCTGAAATGCAATTGGCCCATACATTAGAGTTAGACTGAAGATCAAAATAAACAAAAGAAATTAAAAGAATCAAAGACATCATATAAAAGCAGCAAAAGGATAGGTGAGGAGACTGGGTCAGGATAACCTCATGATTTTATATACAGGTCCTTGATGCAGTCAGAATTATCTAAGTTCCAATTTTATTTATTTATTCTATTTATTTATGCATATAAGAGCTGGGGTATAGGCCAGAGATGCAGGGGGTGGTGAGAGGATTCACCAGAGACAGAGTGGGGAGCAGAACAGGTGGAGTGACTGAAATATACTGCTGAGGGGAACAATGGGTGACACAGGAGAGGTCTGCTGTGCCATGTGGGTCATCTCCCTGACTGGGGATCCAACTTATGCCACAGCAGCTGGTGATAGCTTCAGAGTGCTAATACTTAACCCCTAAGGTCCAAATTTAAGGAAAAGTAACTGTCTTGTTTTACATATAATTAGCAAATTTACACATGAAACAAAAATGTGACAAAATAAAGATGACATAAAATTACTGAAGTTGAATTATATAGAATAGGCCTTATATCTAATGCCACACGTCACAAGGAACAATTCATAAAATACTGCCATGGAAATCCACAGGTAGAACTTTGAAAATGATTTCAAATTACCTGTAAAGACAAACCCAGCAGTTGAGAGCTCTCTTGGGGATATTGCTTGGGCATAAAATGGCCAGTTTTCGAAGGATTCCAGCCTGGCCCTCTCTTCCTGGTACCTTGCTTTGTCTCCTCTCAGCTTGTCTTCTGGATTCCTTACTCTGATATCATACTTGGCAATGTTACCAACATCTTTGCCCAAAAGGAACTCACAATTGGGACGAAACTTCTTGTGCTCTTCCAAGGGTAATTTCTGGACACTGGTGTTAAAGAGGACTAAGCTACAGCAGAAGCACTGAACCGCGGATTTTACGCCAGTGAGGTAAAACCCAGCTGCTGCCATCTCCCTTGGTGTCCATGAACTGTAGGACTCATAGGTGACAAAGGTCTTTAACCTTTTTGCTTCGCTTCGCATTTGTGAGTTAAAGCCTTTCTTCATTTTCATGCACTCTCTATGTTGCTCCTCCTCCATCTCCTTTATATAGATCATCGCTTTTGGGCCTAGTAGAGCAGACATCTCCGCAATTGTAGCATCATCAAACTGGGAAATCCTCTCATCAGAGGACTCCTGGGTTGCCATTTTCTGAAAAGGGAAAAAAAGGCAGGTTAGTGAACATTTCTGGTTGATTTACTGGTCCTGAGATTCCATCCTCCATTCCCACAGTGGGTCACACACGGAGTCCAAGTAGCTGGAGGCCCTTTTGTCACAGCACATTTAAAAGATGTCACTTTGACCCAGCTGTTTTGTAACTTGCCCTACTACCCACATTTCCACAAAAGTTGCAGCTAATTGAATTCTTGATTAGGCCAAGCATGCCCTTCTTTGGGCTGTACCTAAACAGCTCCTTTGTGGTTACTGTGTTAACTCTAATTCAGCAGTGACTCCTCAGGAAAATTCTTTCAGTTCACAAAGGTTACAGTCTTTTGATTGAAGAGTTTATTTTTCTTGATGCCTTCTCCTGGGAGAGTCTCTTTAGTCTACCAGATGGGTCACATTCTCACCAAACAAACTATCTTCCCATGGCTCCTTTGGTGTCCTGTCCTTCCCTTTATACTGGAACCAGTCATGCTTGGTAGACTGGACAGCCTAGGACTCTTTCCTAGTTCACTGCATTTTTACCAAAGCAACCAAAGGTACAGTATACTCAGTGGGACTTCCCATGTCTGAATATGGTTTAATCCATTTAATTATTTCTCTGTTCCCATATATACCTGCCACTTTTACCTTCTATTGCTACGCTTAACTTCCCATCAAAAGTTACAGTACTAGGGCAAATTTAAACCAAGGATGACTCAGTGGCTAGGCTGCCATCTGTAGTTCTAAATCATGGTCCCATTTTTCATCTTTCTCTCTCTCCAAACAAAACCTTAGCCATTGCTTAAACTAGAAAGTCAAACACAGTTTCAATTACTTCATTTACAGTGTCATCTTCAACAGTTATATAGGCTTAGACAACTGAAAAAAGTCAAGACTCTACATAGTATACTAATACAAGATTTTAATAATGATGAAAAGATACAAAAAAGGAAAACAAAACTCCAGGCAAACATCACAGAGGTCTCAAACTTCCAGACCCAGTTTCTAGGGGCCTATCTCATTTGCACAGAATGTGCTTCAGCTTCACCTGGATCTGTGCAAGATACCTTGGTCTCAGGTCTTGGAATAGAAACCACCCTCTCATCTTCTGGTCAAAGACAGAAATAAGCTGGCAAGGTGGCCCCCTGGCTCGTCTCACCCCAGCACAGGACTATACTAGATAGACACTGTTTAGTCATTTCAATCCGGTTTGGCAACAGCCAGTCCATGGCTTAATGCTGTCCTGGAGATAAATAGGCACATGGTAGCAACAGGCCACCAGGGATCAATTTTATACTTACAATGTTCACTAGTCAGTTCTCCTGATCCTGAGGCTTTTCTGGGGAGGAAATCTGCTGTCCAAGGCCTTCTCCAGGTTCCTGTTGTTTGACTCCAAGTAGTAAGGGTAAACAGTGGGGCAATTATATTATGCAGTTAGGATTTAAACACCAATCTGTGTGACCCTAGTGCCTTTTCTCTTGCCTCCTAAGAGAAACAAGAACAAGAAATAAGAGGGCCACATGCTTAGGTGTGGAAGAAAAGCCGCTTTGCCAAAGATGGTAATTTACTTACCTTGAGGTTTATCCAGAGACACAGCCAAATGGAAGGAGAATGTGTGGCCTAACTACAAATGCTCTGTGTTTGTCCTTTAGTAGGGAGCAATGAGAAATTATTTGAGGAACTAAAATTCAAAACAAATTGCACAGTTAGAGAAATTACCAGTAAATGCTATAAGGTATTGCTTCAAAGGCTTACTCAAGACCCAAAAGGAATAACAAAACTTACTGAGCCCCACAACAGGGAATATTTTATTCTAAATAGTTTAAGATTGATACGTAAGGTACTCAGCTTCTTCAATATTAATACTCAGGTCTCCTATAAGTTCAGGGAAATTATCTTCTATGATTTTTTTTTAATTTTTAAAGATTTATTTATTTATTTGTACAAGCACTGGGTACAGTCAGAAGCGCAGTAGGGTGAGAGAATTCACCAGAGCCAGAGGGGATAGCAAGCAGACTAAGTACACTGCTGAGGGGAGCAGCGGGCGGCAGGAGAGGTCTGCGCGCCATGTGGGACCCTTCTCCTGTAGCCGGGGAGCAGCCAGGGATCAAACTGGCGCTGCAGAGGCTGCGGGTAGCTTCGCAACCCAGCGCTCAACCGCTGCGCCACCGGGGAGGCCCTCTTCTATGATTTTTATTAAATTTCCATCATCTACTATTCTCTTTTCACTTTTACTGGCATTGCTGTTGAGGTAAGAACTTAGGTAATCAATTAGATTCCTATCATTTTTCCCCCACATGATGTATTCTTTCTCAATGTATTTGCCCATTTTCTGGGAGATTCCTTTCCCTTATCTTTCCACTCTTCAAAAGCAATCCTCAACCAGCAATTATCCTTTTCACTTCCCACAGCTCTTTCTTGCTCTATTCCTTATTTTCTTGGTATCTAATTTTTAAAACAATCTATCTTTTTTGAATCCTAGGATACTGTTAAATGACAAAACTAAAACAAATCAGTAACAAGTTTTTTTTTCCCAGTAATGAGTTTGATGTCCCTTATTCGAGGGACAATACATGGATTAAGGAAGGGCAGGACCTCATGCATGAACAATGAAACACTTCTCCAGAGATATGCAAAGGCAGGTTTTATAGACCTTTAGAGAAGGCAACGCAGAAACATGATGTGGTGGCTAAGAGATCGGGAATTTCTTTATAAGGCTGACCCACCATGTTTTCGCGGGTTAGGGGAACTAGTAAACTGAGTTGACAGTTTGTGATTGCTGATTGTTAGGTTTCCTTGAAAAGGCGTTTTCCATAAATGAAGGCTGACTTAGGTTTAGATTTGTGATGTTAGCCAGCAGCCTGTGCTATGTCCTTTTTGTGGGTCCTGATAAAAAATTAGCCTTAGCAACACTAATATTTAAGTTAAGTTCATCTGTTCCCTGAATTATTTGTTTCCTCCAGGGCTATTACTATTAATCTCGGTATTTATTTTCCAAGTTGCCATTTTCCGCATTGTATGCTGACCCTCATTTATCATTTTTTTTTTTTTAATTTATACATGCACTGGGTACAGTCAGAAGCACAGGAGGGTGAGAGAACCCAATAGAGCCAGAGCGGGGAGCAGAGCAGGCAGAAGGACCGAAGCACACTGCTGAGGGGAGCAGCGGGCGGCAGGAGAGGTCTGCACGCCATGTGGGACCCTCCTCCGGTGGCTGGGGAGCAGCCGGGGATCGAACTGGCGCTGCAGAGGCTGCGGGTAGCTTCGCAACCCAGCGCTCAGCCACTGCGCCACCGGGGAGGCCCCTCTTTTTTCTTTTTTTTTAAGATTTATTTACTTGTTCATACAAGAGCAGGGGTACAGGCCAGAGATGCGGGGGGTGACAGGATTCACCAGAGACAGAGTAGGGAATGGAACAGGCAAATTGACCGAATTTCACTGCTGAGAGGAGCAGCCGGTAAGACAGGAGAGGTCTGCTGTGCTATGTGGGTTGCTCCCTGACCGGCCGGGGATTGAACTCGTGCTGCAGAGGCTGCGGACCGCTTCATAGTGCAGTGCTTAACTTAACCCCTTGCGCCACCAGGGAGGACCCTCACCTTTATTTTTCAATACATGTTTAAGAATTAGGCAATTTAAAAGCTATTTGGTCAAAATTATGGTTAAAAAGAATCTAATTTAAAGCCATATGAGTGTGAATTGAACCTAAGCCTTTTAATGTATGCAGAACATACTGGGGAGCCAAGATTTACCCTAGAGGAGCCCTAAGTCTCAGAGAAATACCTCAAAAAAATATTTCAAGTAACCTGTCAAGACACAGGTGGAGCTAAAAGCTGACTGGGGATGTTCCTTGGGCATGAAATGGCCAGTCTTAAGGATTTCTTGTTTGGGGGTGTCCGTACTCATACTAGTCCCTCAAAGTTAGCTGAAAATATTGATTCCATTTTTTAAAAAAGATTTATTTATTTATTCATACAAGAGCTGGGGTATAGGCCAGAGATGTGGGGGGGTGAGAGGATTCATCAGAGACAGAGTGGGGACTAGAATAGGCAGATCTACTGAGGGGAGCAGCGGGCAAATCAGGAGAGGTCTGCTGCGCCATGTGGGTCACCTCCCCCGCCACGGATAGAACTCATGCTGCAGTGGCTGCAGATTGCTCCATAGGTTGCGTCTTAAACCCCTTGTGCCACCAGGGAGGCCCCTGATTCCATTTTTATTTTTTTAAAGATTTATTTATTTATTTATACAAGCACTGGGTACAGTCAGAAGTGCGGGAGGGTGAGAGAATTCACCAGAGACAGAGCGGGGAGCAGAACAGGCAGAAAGACCGAAGTACATTGCTGAGGGGAGCAGCGGGCACTGCAGGAGAGGTCTGTCGCACCATGTGGGACCCTCGCCGGTGGCAGGGATCGAACTGGGCGCTCAATCGCTGTGCCACAAGGGGAGGCCCTGATTCCATTTTTAAAGAGAAGAATCCTCTAATTTTTTGCCTCAGGGTTAGCACCTGTTTATCAAATATTTTGATCATGGGGTGGAGAGAGCCAGCTATCTCACCCTCAGAGTTTAAATGATTCCTGGAGTTTTAGCCCTTCCTGTCATTCTCCTCCTTCATAATTGGCATTCTGAGTCCCCAGCTGCCCCCAAGTTCTATACAGTTGAACGTCCCCAAATTTTGAGTTTCCACCTTCCCAAAATTTGTTAGAAGATTTTTGTGCAGATGGGCCCCACTTGCTTTCTTAATCTTTCTGGGTTTATACTTTTTGAAACTAATTCAATGATTTTGTGTAATTAGTACCAATAATGAGAACTGAAATTTATTCAGAACCTACCACTAGCCAGCCCAGTTCTAAGCTCTTTTAACAGTCCAAATAAAGTAGGTATTGATATTATCTCCATTTTGCAGAGGAGGACACACAGGCATTTAGGGGTTCAGAGTAACCAGTCTGGCTACAGGGTCTGCATTTTAAATTAGTATGTTAATTTGCCATAAAGGCCAGATTGTAAGAAAAGGCAAACCCAAGTATCCCAAAAAACTCTTATCCTCCCTACTTTTGATTTAGCAAATAGCCGGGTTAGCAAGGCTCCTAGCTGGAACCTTGAATTTTCTTTTTTACTTTTTTTTTTTAATTGGATTTTTTATTTTTCTATTTTTTTAACATTTATCATTTTTACATTTTTAAGACAATATTTGCTTCCCCCCCACCCCAGAGCCTTGAATTTTCTAAAAAGACATCTGTGTTATCTCAATAGTCTGACAGCTTTGTGTTTTACAAACATCTTATCTTGTTACATTATTGTCTTTATTTTTTTTAAAGATTTATTCTATTTATTTTTTGGGGGGGCCTCTCTGGTGGCGCAGTGGTTGAGCACTGGCTTGCGAAGCTGCCCGCAGCCTCTACAGCACCGGTTCGATCCCCGGCTGCTCCCTGGCCACTCCCCGGCCACCGGAGGAGGGTCCCACATGAAGCGCAGACCTCTCCTGCCGCCCGCTGCTCCCCTCAGCAGTGTACTTCGGTCCTTCTGCCTGCTCTGCTCCCTGCTCTGGCTCTGGTGAATTCTCTCACACTCCAGTGCTTCTGACTGTATCCAGTGCTTACATAAATAAATAAATCTTTAAAAAAAAAAAAAAGATTTATTCTATTTATTTTTGTATTAAAGAGCTGAGGTGTGGGCCAGAGGTGCAGTGGGATGAGAGGATTCACCAGAGACAGAGTGGGGAGCACAGCAGGCAAATCTACTAAAATGCACTGCTGAGGGGAGCAGTGGGAGAGACAGAAGTCTGCTGCACCATGTGGGTTAACCCCCGGCCAGAGAGCAAACTCATGCTGTAGTGGCTGTCAAGAGCTTCATAGTGCTGAGACTTCACCCCTTGCACCACGGGGGAGGTCCCACATTATTGTCTTTAATATGACGCTGCTTATTAATAGTAATAATAGCCTAACTTATTGTAGGCTTTGGTAGAAATTCTTCTAACATTTGATCATTATATATGATATCTGTAGTACATTTTTAGTGGATACCCTTTAACAGTTGAAAGACCTTCCCTTTTACTTTTTTTACCCTGAGAACTGCATAGCTTTCATTGGAAAAAGATCCAAATATCATCTCTATACAGTGGAAAAGGGGTAAAAAAAATTTCATAGTCCCAGTCCATCTTGTACTATGTGTCCCAAGAACAGAATTAGAGAACATGGCAAGAAATAACAAATCTTTTATCCTTATAGGGCTGGACCCAAAAAGGTTATCAGTAGACTCTTGAGACTGCTTTCCAGAAATGTGATAGTCTCCTATACCCTTTTCTTCCTTACTATAGGTCCCAGAGACTCAAACATCTTTCCCTTTCTCTTAAACCCTGCTAGCCCACTAAAAACCTTGGGATTACCCTACCTCTCTTCCTGAGGGTTGGAAGTCACCACTCACAAAATTGTTTCAGGTTATTTGCCAATCATTAGCAAGATACTGACAGCTGAACACGGAATATGACCACAAACATGAGAACCTACAAGTATTGAGAAATCTTACAAAATATTTACAGTTCTTTCTTGCTGCTATTCTGAGAAGCAGAAAGCCTGTTTCCTCTCACTGTTTTGACATATGTTTTTATTATGACATGTATTCAGATATGGAGGGAAAATGGGGGGGAGGGTTACACTTGGTCCTTAAATACAGGACTTACATGTTTTTGACCTAATCATTTCTCAGACTTTAAACTCAATTACATGGTAGGCACATTAAATATTAATGGACTAAATGCTTTAGTTAAAAGGCAAAGATTGGGCCTCCCTGGTGGCACAGGGGGTTGAGACACAACCTATGAGGCTGGCGGCAGCCACTGCGGCGAATTTGATCCCCAGCCAGGGAGCAGTCCACATGACACAGCAGACCTCTCCTGACTCGCCCACTGCTCCCCTCAGCAGTGTATTTCTGTGGGTCTGCCTGCTCTGTTCCCCACTCTGTCTCTAGTGAATCCTCTCACCACCCGCACCTCTGGCCTATACCCCATTCTTGTGTGCAGTGCATAAATAAATAAATCTTAAAAAAAAAAAAAGGCAAAGATTGTCATGCCAAATGAAAAGAATATGAAGCACCTCCCTGGTGGTGCAAAGGTTGAAGTCTCAGTGCTATCAAGTTATCGCCAGCCACTGCAACATGAGTTCAATCCCAGCCAGAAAGCTAACCCACATGGCACAGCAGAACTCTTCTGTCTTACACACTGCTCCCATCAGCAGTGTATTTCAGTAGATCTGCCTGTTCTGCTCCCACTCCGTGGGGAATCCTCTCACCTGCCCCTCACACCTCTGACCTACACCCCAGTTCTTGTGTCCATAAATAAAAATGCATTTTTAAAAAATAAAATATAAAGAATATGAAATAAAACGTATGCATTTAAAGGTACTTAAATCTAATTTTCAAAATGAATTTTAAGTACTGCGTTTTCTATTTAATCAAACAGCAGAACTCAGAAAGACATACTATTCAGAAAGATTTCCAATATTAGTTTCCTTCTACTGTATTATTGTACTATACAGTGGAGTTCTAAGGGGGAAATTAAAGGCCAAAACAGTCTTAGACCATCATTTCTATTTCCAAAATCTTAAACAAAGCTGGATTTTCTCTATAATTTTGAGAAAAACATTCCTTCTTAAGCCTAAGTAAAATATTTTTTAGACTTATCAAATATGCAAATGAAATCAAAACTGTAGAAAGAGCTCAAGTAGCCCAAAAAAGGCACGGGGTATCCCTTTTATATATGATAGTAAGAATATTGTTTGTTTGTTTTTTTTAAAAAAGATTTATTTATTTATGCACACAAGAGCTAGGGTACAGGCCAGAGATGTGGGGGGTGACAGGATTCACCAAAGACAGAGTAGGGAACAGGCAGATCAACAGAAATACACTGCTGAGGGGAGCAGTGGGCGAGTCAGGAGAGGTCTGCTGCACCATGTGGGTTGCTCCCTGGCAGGCTGGGGATCGAACTCGTGCTGCAGAGGCTGTGGATTGCTTCATTATGCAGTGCTTAATACCTTGTGCCACCTGGGAGGCCCAAGAATGCTTTCCTAATATATTGCCAATAACTTTTCAACTATGTTTCTATGCTTGTGGTAAAAATGACCCCTGGATAGAACACTGTATCTGGACTGGATGCACTATATACAGTGCACTATATATATATATATAGTGCACTATATATATATATCTGGACCTCCTGCTTTGGGCTTTTCTAGGCATAGTGACTCCTGAACTGACATGTTGCTTGTGGAGACCCTAGAAGAGCAGTGCTTATGAAACTGTTATAAAGAGATATAACTTACCTCTCATTGAAGCCTGTGGAGGATCTCATTGGCTTTGCACCAAATCTCATTGGCTAAATAGTTCTGAAGTGCTGCCTGCTGCCCTGTTTAACATCCCTTTGAATAAGCTGGTGCTAAGTGTGGCCATGGTAATCTTGTGCATTTGAATATTTAAATCTAAAAAGACTTTTGTGTTGGTCACAGTCACAAATAAATTCAGATGCATAAACTTTATATTTTGATGGTTTAGTTAAGTCAAAAAGGACCCCTTGAGTGGTATAGCATCATATATAATTTTATATGTATTAATTTCATAACTATTAATTATCATTTTATATTGAATTTATACTTGCACCCAATTTTCTTTTTACAAAGTGAATTAAAAAAGCCATAAAAAATTCTGTGTTTACTTTAATTACAAAACAATGAGTTTATCACATCAATTTAATCATTATAAGTAACTTAAATACAATAATGTTTAATGACTTTGGAAACAACATAACTCAAAATAATAGAAAACAAAATTAAGTGAATAAAGTACTACTGAATTCCAGGACTTTATGTGACAGGATAAAAATTTTAAAAACTAATAAATACTGTATTTTCTTAGTAAAAAGTTTCTTTCTTAAGTCCTATTTTACTCTTTAACTGTTCATGTTTTAATTGAAGTTTCTTCTTAAAAGAGTCACTTTATTTACAGTTGCAAATTCCTTTTAAATACATACAGTGTAGTAGATGCTAGGATCAAATACCTGAAGAAGTTGGAATCTTATGAATACAGCCAGGACAACAGTGGAGAGAGTCATGAACAAAAACATCACAGTCCACACAGAAAACATTTTGACACACACTACAAACATAGACCTGCAGTGGAAAAAAAAAAAAAAATTAAAAAAGTAGTTCCTAAAAGTAAATACAGCACAGATCAAAGACATATGAATTACTTTGTTGTTTTTTTATCTGTCAGCATGTCCCCATGCAGCTACTTACTTTATAACTTTCATTACACTCTGTATTCTCAATTCTAAGGCAATTTATTTATTTATTTTAAAGGGCAGTCAGATTTCTTCTTTTTTAAAGATTTATTTATTTATGCACATACAAGAACTGGGATACAGGCCAGAGGTGAGGGGGGGGGCAGGGTGAAAGGGTTCACCAGAGACAGGTGGGGAGCAGAACAGGCAGATGGACTGAAAACACTGCTGAGGGGAGCAGCAGGCGATACAAGAGAGGTCTGCCGTGCCATGTGGGTATCTCCCTGGCCAGCCGGGGATCAAACTCACGCTGCAGGGACTGAGGACAGCTTTACAGCACTGTGTTCAACCTGCTGCACTACCAGGAAGGCCCTAAGGCAATTTATTTTTTCCCAAAAATTTATTCCTTAGAAATGAGGGAATGACTTTGTTTTTTAAGTCCTTAAAGGCTCTTGTATTATTGGAACTCTGAATTATTTCAGCTAAGTAACTATATGGGGAAGACATATGACCTTCAAATCAGGTTTTTAATGCGTAAGAGAAATCACATGACATGCAATAAAAACAGAAACACAAAATTTAACAAAGATTTAGTTATTACAAGAAATGACCTCACAATTGTAAAAGTTATATTTCCCCCTTTAATTAAACCTTTTAAGAATATTATAAAAGATACATATAAAACGAATAAAAAGAAAAATCCAATTATTCTATCAGTTTAACATATATGGATACTTGTGCCTTCAGGTAAAATTTCCAGGCCAATATCATATACAGATTCAAAAATCAGTAAATCTTTCAAGTAGAGGAGATAAAAATGATGTGTTCTTTAAAACTGTCAAATGATTCCAAAAAAGGGTCTAATGAGGATGAAGCTACTGATATCAAAGAGGCATGTAAACTTAATAAAATTCTGTTATGAAATGTGAGCACAGAATAAACAAGTGATATTTCTAGTTTATAATCTATATCGTTAGTAAAGTACAGTTTTAAATATGGACATGTAACTTAGTAAAAATTTAAAACCATATGGGCTTCTATCTTATTTGCAGCTCTTTAAGTTTATATAGTCAAATTGGCACCCTTCCAAATTTTACTTTTAAAAGATTTATTTTTATTTATGCATACAAGAACTGAGGTGTAGGCCGGAGGTGTGGGGGGGTGACAGATTCAGAAGAGAGTGGGGGGCAGAACAGGGTGATCTAATGAGATACTATGCTGAAAGGAGCAGAGGTGGAGACAGGAAAGGTCTGCTGTGCCATGTGGGTAGCTCTCTGGTTCGGGATTGAACTCTTGCTACAGTGGCTGGTGAGAGCTTGATCGCGCTGAGACTGTAACCCCTGCACCATCAGGGAGACCTAGGACTCCGTCTTTTTCACTTCATTTTCCCTTAGTTACCTCTTTAAAGGCTTTATCTATAAATAGAGTCACATTGGGGGATAGGCCTTGAATGTATGAATTTGGCAGAAGCACAGTTTATTCTTTAACACTGTCAATTCTTGGCCACTTTGAACAGAAATTTCTGCCTTTGAGACACACATGGGGATAGACAAAGTGTGAAGAGACTTTCTCCCATGGCACAGTTTATTGGTGTTGAAACAGTTATGTTTAGGGGGAAAAACTAGGATTTTAGTGGGAAAGGGACTAGATTGCCTAATTACTAATTTTAAAGTACTAAAATATCTTCATAGCAAAATTAAACACCACCACCCTTCCCACCTCTGGCCTATACCCCAGCTCTTGTATACAAAAATAAATAAAATAAATCTTTTTTTAAAAAAAAAAAGATAGGGTCCTAATCCAATATAACTGGTGTCTTTATAAGTAGAGGAAAAGACATCAGGGAATCAAGTACACAGAAGAAAGACCAAATAAGGATAAAATGACAAGATGGCCATCTGCAAGGCAAACAGAGGCCTCAAGAGAAACTAAATCTGCTGACAGCTTGATCTAGGCTTTTAGCCTCCAGACTATGAAAAAATAAATTGTTGGTTTTTGTTTTTTTTTTAATGCAGAATTAGGGCCTCCCCAGTGGCGCAGCAGGTTGAGCACAGCGCTGTGAAGCTATCCGCAGCCTCTGCAGTGCTAATTCGATTCCTGGCTGTCCAGGGAGATTACTACATGGTGTGGCAGACCTCTCCTGTTGAGCCCGCTGCTCCCCTCAGCAGTGTATTTCAGCCCTTCTGCCTGTTTTGCTCCCTGCTCTGTCTCTGGTGATTTCTCTCACCCTCCCGCACCTCTGGCTTGTACCCCACTGCTTGTATAAATAAATAAATATTTTTTAAAAAACGATTTTTTTAAAATGCATTATTATAACTATTTAAAATTCTTCTGCTCCAATTTTGTCTCTTCCTACTCTGATGAATAACCTGATATGAACCTGGACTTCAATAATCTATTGAAAATGGGGCCTTCCCTGGTGGCGCAGGCAGTTGAGCGCAGCGCTGTGAAGCTGTCTGCGACCTCTGCAGCGCCGGTTCAATCCCGGCTTGCTGGCGAGGGTCCCACATGATGTGGCGGACCTCTCTTCTGTCTCGCCCACTGCTCCCCTCAGCAGTGTATTTCTTCAGTCTGCCTGTTCTGTCCCCCGCTCTGTCTCTGGTGAACCCTCTCACCCTCCCATATATCTGGCCTGTACCCCGGTTCTTATATAAATAAATAAATAAATCTTAAAAAAAAATATCTATTGAAAATGGGCCTCTCTGGTGGTACAGGGGTTATCAAGCCTCAGTGTTATCAAGCTATCACCAGCTATTGCAGCATGAGTTTGATCCCCAGCCAGGAAGCTAACCCACATGGCCTAGCAGGCTTCTCCTGTCTTGCCTGCTGCTCCCCTCAGCAGTGTATTTCAGTAGATCCACCTGTTCTGTTCCTCACTCTGTCTCTGGTGAATCCTTTCACCCCCACACCTCTGGCCTACACCCCAGTTCTTGTAGGCATAAATAAAAAAAATACATCTTAAAAAAAGTAAATAAATAACATATTGAAAACTTGTAATTGGGGCCTCCCCGGTGGCACAGCGGTGGAGCACTGGGCTGCGAAGCTGCCCGCAGCCTCTGCAGTGCCAGTTCGATCCCCGGCCGCTGGCAAGGGTCCCACATGGCACGCAGACCTCTCCTGCCACGCCCGCTGCTTCCCTTAGCAGTGTGCTTTGGTCCTTCTGCCTGTTCTGCTCCCCGCTCTGGCTCTGGTGAATTCTCTCACCCTCCTGCGCTTCTGACTGTACCCAGTGCTTGTATAAATAAATAAATAAATATTTAAAAAAAAGAAAACTTATAATATCATTTCCTCAATAATTCTTGTATAATACTTAATATTTAGAATCATATGAACTTACATGTTGGTCTTTCAATTCCCCCTCACATCCAAAACAAAATCTGAAAAAGTGAAGAATCATTTTGCTTACAATTTACTTATTAGTATAGTTCTGGAAAATCACAATAACAAGAAACCTTTCATTAATAATTATATTCACATGATTTTTAGTAAAAAGGTAAAGTTAAGAAAACTAGCAATTTAAGAAAATTCAACAGTATATCCCATGGGTTATCTGACAATTAGTCCAAAATGCTACACTAAAATTTTTTTAAATTTTACTTTCACCAAGGTTAAATACAAGCAATTGGTATTCTACGAGAGAATTAAACCCGACAGAAAATTATTTTAGTGATTATTTCTCAACTCTTCCAAAGATGTCAGAGGGCTGGTACAATTCTAGATGGACAGGAGAAAATTTATTGATATAATGGCTACCTAAAGGCTTAATTTTCAAGGAATGGCTTAATTAGTTAGAAGCTCTTAATATTTGCAACAACAAAAAGCAGTTCTCCATCCACCCACCTCTACTTCATCTACAGCTCTCCCAGACAAATATTTTCATAATTTCAAATTGCTTGATCATAATCAATCCTTGCAATACTATCTTAGTTTTTCCACAGGTATTGTCTGAACCTCCCAATATAAAAGATGAGAATTTAGTTCTCTTTCAACTCTAAAAAATGCATATATATGCATAACTAATGTCATTTTCAACTCTGTACTGTTAAAACATAATTTTGGATAGAACTTTTCAATGTTTAGTTTATTATGACTATACAGTGTACTCAGCTGAGTCAGTAATATAACTTTTACTCTCTTCAGGCATTTCCCAGGGCCTCCCTGGTGGTGCAGGGGTTAAAGACACCGCTATCAAGCTATTGCCAGGCCCGCATCACGAGTTTGATCCCCAGCCAACCAGGGAGCAACCCACATGGTGTAGCCGCCCTCTCCTGCCTCGCCCACTCTTCCCCTCAGCAGTGTATTTCAGTAGATCTGCCTGCTCTGCTTCCCACTCTCTCTGGTGAATCCTCTCACCCCCCACAACTCTGGCTTACACCCCAGTTCTTGTATGCATAAATAAATATATATTTTTTTTTAAAATAAAATAAAACATTTCCCAGCTTAGTTTTCTGTGTAGTTACCACTAATTCAGCCCCAGTCTTTCCTGAGTAATTAAATATCCTCTTAAGATTTCAATTACATCAGGAATTCTACTATTGTTATCCTCTTAGTGACATTTCTTTTGGTCATCTCTCAACTAAACTGTGCTCCATATCAGACATAAGAAATTCATTCTGGGATCTCCCCTATCCATCATCTTAGGACTTTCTCTAGCCATTTCTGAATTAATAAATATTTCTATTCATTTTCATTCATTCTCTTTCTTAGTTTCTTTAAATTATCTCTCTATAGCATCCCTAGAAAGTCTTTTTAAGATTCTATAAGTCTTGGACCTCCCTGGTGGCAAAGGAGTTAAGTCTTAGTACTATCAAAGTATCATCAGCCAGTGCAACATGAGTTAGATCCCTGGCCAGGGAGTTAACCCACATGATGAAGCAGACCTCTCCTGTCTCGCCTGTTGCTCCCCTCAGCAGTGTATTTCAGTAGATCTGCCTGTTCTGCCCCCTACTCTGTCTCTGGTGAATCCTCTCACACCCACTACCTTCCCCACACCCACACCTCTGGCCTACACCTCAGTTCTTGTATGCACAATAAATTAAAAAAAAAAAAAAAGATTCTACAAGTCTGAAAATGTCTACCTATATTTAATTGGTAGTTAGGTTGGATATATAATTTAGAGATAATAATTTTTACTTCCAAATTTTGGAGGACACTGCTTCCCATCCGCAACGTTGCTGATGAGAAGCCAAATGATGTTAATTCAGGATTTGTGGTATATGAACTAATTTTCCATTTTCAGAAATTGTAGGATCCATATTTTTCTGTGTGCTCTGAAAAGTCACAATGATCTAATTTAGTGTAGGTCTACAAAGTACTATCCTTCTTTTGTAGAAAATTTCCTGAACTGTTTCCTATTCTTTATTTGATCTTTTGTTTATTTCTCATGTTATTCTGATGTTGGCCCATCTGGATAAATCCTTCATCCTACCATGCTAACTGGCAAATGTTACAAATCATGGCCTCTTTTTTTTTTTAAAGATTTATTTATTTATGCATACAAGAACTGGGGTACAGACCAGAGATGTGGGGGGTGAGAGGATTCACCAGAGACAGAGTGGGGAGCAAAACAGGAAAGTCAGGAGAGATCTGCTGCGCCATGTGGGTTGCTCCCTGGCTGGGGACCAAACTCGTGCTGCAGTGGCTGTGAATAGCTTCACAGGTTGCATCTTAACCCCGTGGCCTCCTTTTTTTCCCCTTTTTTAGAGAGTTGATTTGCAAGTATACCACCACTGTTACTATATATAGATGGGTTTAGGGAAATTAATAGATTCCTAGAGATGCAGATCTGTTTAATTATGATTTATTTCAGACAAAACCAAGACATTCTATATCTTATTTTCTATATTAAAAGTAATTAAGCCCATGTTCATACTATTATAATTTTTAATGTAATAACAATGTATTCAAATGTTATTTTATTGCATATATAACAGATATAAATTAATCAAAATTAACATACCTTTCTCCCTTATATTCTTCGAGGGGAATCTCTTGAAAAGCATCCAATGGAAATAAATGATGGTAAGACCGTGCCAAATGCGGAGCCGATACCAAAGTAAGTCCTAACCCATAAAGAAGAGAGACATGCTTATTAGAGCAAACCTCATAAAGACAATGACTGCAATGTCAAATAATAGGACTTAGGCTAAATACAGTTAAATATATGTAATATTTAGGAGTACAGGTTTCGTTTCTTCAGTTTATTTGTGGTGATTCCAGAATGAGTCTTAGTTCTGTAGCTGTGATTTTCCTTGGCCTGTCTGCTTACTTGTAAATGAAATAAAATCACCTAATTCTATTGCTTTAATTCCTCATTCTTATCCTAAAGATATTTACATTATAAAGACATTTGAAAACACCTACTAGATCTACTGCACTGCCTTTAAAAAAAAACAACACAATTTTTTCATAATTAGAATCAGCAAACTCTTCTAGAATGCCTTGTTTATTCTTAGAAATGGAGAATTGGGCACTTAATGAAAAAAGTAATCTATTTCTGGGGCCTCCCTGGTGGCATAAGGGGTTAAGCCACAGCACCATGAAGCTTTCCGCAGCTACTGCAGCACTAGTTTGATCCATGGCAAGGGATGTGAACCATATGGCGCAGTAGACCTCTCCTGTCTCGCCCACTGGCTCCTATCAGCAGTGTATTTCAGTCAATCTGCCTGTTTTGCTTTCCACTCTGTTTCTGGTGAATCCTTTCACTCCCGCACCTTTGGCCTATACCCCAGCTCTTGTATGCATAAATAAATAAATCTTAAAAAAAAAAAAAAGTAATCTATTCCTTTTCTCACTGATTAAATCCAGAAATACAGGTACAACTCAATAATTATATGCATTTTAATGGCAAGACAGGCAAGAAGTTATTCAAGATTTATTGGATAAGGAATACTGGTTTCTTACCACAGATTTTACATTCAACAGGAAGCTCACAGTACTTAGCACGACACTGAGGGCAGAAGTAGCCCCCTAACGTAAGTCCTGGCTCAGTACTGCTATCCAAATGCCTGAAGAAGAAAAATAACTTTCAAAAAGTGACATATAGAAATGTGCATAGTTAGAATTATTTGACATCTAAGTTATTAGTTTGTGGTTAAGAATTACTTTTTTAAATTTAATTTTGCCTTATAATTAAGTAAAATATAAAGCTCCAAAGTTAAAACAAGTTGTATTCAAGAAAGTATAGGATTTATCCTTTTGTCTTTCCCTACACATCACCCAGGTAAACTGATTTTAGTTTTACTTTTTTATTTCCATTACTATTTTTATTAAATATGAATAATTATGTACATCTATTCATCTCTACGCTCTGACTATTTTACTCAGTAATATATCTTGAAGACTACTCTATATTATTATTAGAGACAGTCTTCATTCCTCTTTACAACTATATACAAAGTAATCTTTTATAAAAGCCATTATATTTTTAAAATAAATTTTAATTTTTTTTATTGGGGTAACACTGGTTTACAATATTTTATATGACTTGGGGTATAAGGTCATACCCTGCAGGGATGTATCAGCACACCACACCTACCACCAAGGAACCCCCCAGTCTTCCACCACGGTTCATTGGGCCCCCTACCCACTTGGCTCTCTTACCCCCTCCAGTAAAAGGCCATTACATTTCAAGCCTACTTTGTAAATACATAACTATGGAAAGGAACTGAAAGTGTAAAAACACTATCATTGACAGTTTCAAGATTTTACTTACGCCATGCTGAAAGAGGGCTTTGCATCTTGATCAGACAGAGAAGCAATCGTGTGCTGAGGAAATCCTTCATTGAAGAAAATATATTACTTGCTTTTTTCCACGAAAATAACAGGATTCTAGGACTAGGAATCTTAAAATAGTCATCCCAGAAAGCCCACAAAGTTGTATAAAAGTTGTCTTTTAGATACACTTATAATATGATGAAAATTGACTGTAATTTCAAGCTACAAGAAAAATTAAAGAGTAGAGGGAATGGGCAGAAGATCTGTGCATACATATGACCTAAATTTACAAACTTCAGTATTAGTTTAAAAATGAACAATGGGGCCTCCCTGCTGGAGCAAGGGGTTAAGCACAGCAGTGTGAAGCTATCCGCAGCCTTTGCAGCAAGAGTTCGATCCCTGGCTGCGCAGGGAGCTACCCACACGGAGCAGCAGACCTCTCCTGCTTCACCTGCTGCTCCCCTCAGCAGTGTATTTTAGTCAGTCTGCCTGTTCTGTTTCCCACTCTGTCTCTGGTGAATCCTCTCACCCTTTGTACCTCTGGCCTGTATGCCAGTTCTTGTATGCATAAATAAATAAATCTTTTAAAAAAACAAATAATGAGCAATGATGTAAAATATATATAAATTAAAAAAAACAAAGTTCAGTGCTATATTTTCTAATTTAATAATTAACACGTACTTTTTAAAAAGACAATAATTTTTAAATAGTGTCTAACACATGAAAGAATCTCTGTCCAATTTCACTTTATACTATGTTTAAAACTTTGGAATGCCCAAACTTCTAAATTCTGAAAACAAGTTCAAGAAAATAAAAAATCATAAAAAAAGATTTAAATACATAATAATTTAAAATCTATCTACATAACAAAATAAATAAAAGTAAAGATAAATGACCAACTGAAAAAATTTTTGCCTCAGGTAACGGACAATAGATTGATATTCCAAAATGACTTTAACAAATCAATTTGAAAAATAAATTGTAAGTTTAAATAATAGCTTTAAAATGAGCTAAGCAAATGTATCAGTAAATCAAAAAAGATTAGCCAACATACTATCTAAAATATATTGAGTGTTTATATCAAGTATTATTTTACATGTTTCATCTGTATTAACAAAACACACAATGTGATACTAATGTTTTTAAAATGAGGAAACAGAGGAAAGAGGCTAACCAGTAACAAAATGGCCAAATATAGGAAAGAAAAACAATCCATCTTATGGACAGTTAAAAAATGCATATTAAACAAGCAGGTTCATTTTATATACACAAAGTTACATCTTTTTCAATATGATGATAACTAATTAGTGTTCATTATAAAATTTTTGGAAACTAATAGAAAACAAATTTAAAAAAATGATCTTAAATCTACTTTTTCCCTCCCTCCAGAAAAATCACTTTAAGTAGTCTGATATATTGCCCTGCAACCATTTTTGTCTTGCAGTTTAAATTACACAGTTTTGTTCAAACAGTACAGAGGGGTTTGTAGCTTATTTTCTAAATTTCTTAATACAACAAGTTTTCTATAAAAGCAGTGTCTTTATGCCTTTCTAGCCTTAACAATTAAAAAAAGCCAGTAATGCTCTCTGAGTGATAGGGCTAAAAGTGATTTTAATTTTCTTTTTCTGTCTTCACATTTTCCAGAATTGCTTTAACAGAATAAATTTCTCTTACTACAAAAGTTACATTATAAAAAATAAATACTTCAATATTAAAATAACTTGTACAAATGAAAATCTACTTTGAACCAAAGTAGTCTACTTGGAACCAAAAAATATTTTTAAATAACAAAATAAACACTTACCCATTCGAATAAGTGAGCACTCAGAACTTGAACTGGCAGGTGGAGGACTAACATGATGTGTCAGCAATTCTTTATAATGGCTTTCATCTAAAATAACATGATAAGTGCCTAACAAGATGAAAAGCAAAGAAAGAAAAACATCAACTTCCTACACATAAGAATGAACTATAATTTCTATGTAATTCTATAAAAGGTAAATATCGGGCCTCCCTGGGTGGCGCAGCGGTTGAGTGCTGGGCTGCGAAGCTGCCCGCAGCCTCTGCAGCAGCGGTTTGATCTTGGCCACCGGCAAGGGTCCCACATGGCGTGACAGACCTCTCCTGCCATGCCCGCTGCTCCCCTCAGCAGTGTATTTCCGTCAGTCTGCCTGTTCTGTTCCTCGCTCCAGGCCTGGTGAATTCTCTCACCCTCCCGCGCTTCTGACTGTACCCAGTGCTGGCTGTACCCTATTTCTGCTCCCCACTTTGTCTCTGGTGAATCCTCTCACCCCCTGCACCTCTGGCCTACACCCCAGCTCTTATATGCATAAATAATCTTTTCAAAAAATTATTATAAAAAAGTAAATAAATTACATCTCTAAATTGACTTCTCGAGGAACTACAATTACAATTTATTTGAAACCAAGTTATAAGATCTTGACAAAGTATTACCAAAATTTCTAACTTTTGAAAAGTTATAATAACTCCTGGAAATACTGACATTATTAAGGAAAATTCCTTGCATTTTGAGATGGCACCTTAGAAAATCAATGATGTATTTATTATGGACTATAGCACATGAACTGATTTAAATTTAGTAGCAGGCCTCCCTGGTGGCGCAGCGGGTTGAGCACCGCGCTATGAAGCTGTCCGCAGCCTCTGCAGCGTGGGTTTGATTCCTAGCCGGCCAGGGAGAAACCCACATGAGGTCAACAGACCTCTCCTGTTGCGCCCGCTGCTCCCCTCAGCAGTGTATTTCGTCAGTCTGCCTGTTCTGCTCCCTGTTCTGTCTCTGGTGAATCCTCTCACCCTCCCGCACATCTGGCCTATACCCCAGCTCTTGTATAAAAATAAATCAATCTTAAAAAAATAAATAAATTTAGTAGCTTAAAAACATTGTTACATTCTACACAGTACTATGAAAAAATGTTGAAGATTCTAGATACATACCACCAGTTTCACGAGCCAGTACAGTGCAAACCCGAACCTCTGCAGACAATCCAATAACAGACACTCTAATTTTAGCTGCCTTTAAAGTCTTCATAAAATCCAAGTGTATGGTGGGTTTTAGGGGAAGAAAAAAAGAATTGAAAAACTAGTGTGTTTGAGTAACAGAACGTCCTGCAAACCAGTAAAATTCCACAACAAGGGCCTCCCGGGTGGCCTAGGGGGTTAAGCCTCAGTGCTGTCACCACTATGGCCTGAGTTTCATCCCGGGCCAGGTGCTAACCTACATGTGCTGCAGCAGACCTCTCCTGTTTTACCTGATGCTCCTCTTAGCAGTGTATTTCAGTAAATCCACCTGTTCCACTCCCCACTCTGTCTGGTAAATCCTCTCACCCCCTGCACCTCTGGCCTATATGCCAGCTCTTCTACACAAATACAAATATAAATAAATAGATAAATAAATCATAAAAAAAAAAAAAAGACCCAAGACCTCCCTAGTAGCACAGGGGTTAAGTCTCAGTACTATCAAGCTATCACCAGCCACTGCAGCATGAGTTCGATCCCAGGCTAGGGAACTAAACCGCATGGCACAGCAGACCTCACCTGCCTCACTTGCTGCTCCCCTCAGCAGTATATTTCAGTAAATCCAGCTGTTCTGCTCCCCACTCTGTCTCTGGTGAATCCTTTCAACCACCACCCCTGCCCTATACCTTTGGCCCACAACCCAGTTCTTGTATGCATAAATAAATAAAAACAAATCTTGAAAGAAACCTACTACATAATTTTCTTTAAAGTTGTAACTTAACTTTAAATTTGATCATAAAGATCTGGAACAAGACAAGGATGCCCACTCTCACCACTGCTTTTCAATATAATACTGGAAGTCCTAGCCAGAGCAATAAGACAAGAGAAAGACATCCAAGGAATCCAAATAGGAAAAGAAGAAGTCAAACTATCACTATTTGCAGATGATATGATATTATACATAGAGAACCCCAAAAACTCCACAGAAAAACTAATTCAACTCATCAGTCAGTTCAGTAAAGTGGCAGGATACAAAATCAACACGCAAAAGTCAGTAGCCTTCCTATACACAAACAATAAATCTGAAGAAGAAGAAATAAAAAAAAAATCCCTTTTGTTATTGAAACAAAAAAAATCAAATATTTGGGAATAAATCTAACAAAAGAGGTAAAGGACCTATACAAAGAAAACTATAAAACACTGTTAAAAGAAATAGAAGAAGACACAAAGAAATGGAAAGACATCCCCTGCTCATGGATTGGAAGAATAAACATTATTAAAATAAAAGAATAAACATTATTAAAATGGCCATCCTTCCAAAAGCAATATACAGATTCAATGTTATTCCAATCAAAATTTCAATGTCATTCTTCAAAGAAATAGAACAAGTATTGATGAAATTCATATGGAATCACAAAAAACCCCGAATAGCCAAAGCTCTCCTGAAAAAAAAAGAAGGGAATGGAGGCATCACACTCCCAGACTTCAAACTATACTACAAAGCCATAATCATCAAAACTGCATGGTATTGGAACAAGAACAGACATACAGACCAATGGAATCGAATAGAAAATCCAGAAATAAACCCACAGATTTATGGTCAACTAATCTTTGACAAAGGAGCAAAGACTATGCATTGGAGCAAAGAAAGTTTGTTCAATAAATGGTGCTGGGAAAACTGGGTCGCTACATGCAAAAGAATGAAGCTTGACCACTACCTCACACCATACACAAAAATCAACTCAAAATGGATTAAAGAACTAGACATAAGACCTGAAACCATAAAATATATAGAAGGAAATATAGGCGAAACACTACGTGATTTGCACATCAAAGACATCTTTACAGACACATCACCCAAAGCAGTGATAGTGAAGGCAAAGATAAACAGCTGGGACTACATCAAATTAAAGAGCTTCTGCACAGCAAAAGAGACAATAACAAAAACAAAGAGAAACCCCACCAACTGGGAGAACATTTTTGCACCCAACACTAATGATAAAGGACTGATCACAAAAATCTGCAAAGAGCTGACGAGACTCAACAACAACAAAGAAAATAATCCAGTCAAAAAATGGGCAGAAGAGCTAAAAAGAAACTTCTCTGAAGAGGAAATGCAAATGGCCAACAGGCATATGAAAAAATGTTCAACATCATTTGTCATCAGGGAAATGCAAATCAAAACTACCATGAGATACCATCTTACACCAGTGAGAATGGCACATATTAAAAAAACTAGCAACAACAAATGTTGGCGAGGGTGTGGAGAAAAAGGAACTCTTCTGCATTGTTGGTGGGAGTGCAAACTGGTCCAACCACTATGGAAAGCTGTGTGGAGATTTCTGGACCTACTAAACATAGAACTTCCATATGATCCAGCAATTCCACTCCTAGGTATTTACCCAAAAGACACAGAAACATCAATTCCAAAGAGCACCTGCACCCCTATGTTTATAGCAGCACTGTTTACAATAGCTAAGCTTTGGAAACAACCCAAATGCCCAAAAATAGATGACTGGATCAAGAAGATGTGGTACATATATACCATGGAATATTACTCAGCATTCAAAAAAGATAAACACATGCAATTTGCAGCAACATGGATGGCGCTGGAAGGGATCATGCTCAGCGAAATAAGCCAAAAAGAAAAAGAAAAATACCGGATGGTCTCACTCATAACAGGAATCTAGAAAACTTAAATAAGGGACCAGGAAAATGAATAACTTTAAGAAAGTGAAAATCAAAATCAACAAAAAACTATGAACCAGAGACACTTTTTTGGGGGCGGGGGCGGGAGGGGAGGGATTGGGGTCAGAATGGGGGGGCTGCAATTGTATGGGGAATATAACAATAAAATTTATTATTTAAAAAAAAAAAATAAAAAAATAAATTTGATCATAAAGAAATTATTGGCTCAGGCCTCCGCGGTGGCACAGCGGTTGAGAGCTGGGTTGCGAAGCTGCCCGCAGCCTCTGCAGCACCTGTTCAATCCCTGGCCACCGGGCCAGGGTCCCACATGGTGCGCAGACCTCTCCTGCCGCCCACTGCTCCCCTCAGCAGTGTACTTTGTCACTCTGCCTGTTCCACTCTCCGCTCTGGCCCTGGTGAATTCTCTCACCCTCCCGTGTCTCTGACTGTACCCATTGCTTGTATAAATAAATAAATAAATATTTAAAAAAAAAAGAAATTATTGGCTCTACCTTGATTAAATCATAGATATTAGATGGATCACAAGTTGTGAGGCTACTAAAGATGATTAGAACTTCTCTACTTGTATGTCCAGGCATGTGTCTAAGGAAAGATATATAAAATATGCTTCAATTAGGTAAAACAAATTACACTAATGAAAAGTTTATCCAGAAATAATAATACACATGTTTATACAATTAGACTATAGAATATCTCATCTGTTTCAACAACACAAAGGAATGAATTGTAAGTATAAAGACCTTCATGTACATTTTCTAAAACTGCTCATTTTAAAAATTCTTTAATTCATTTCATAAATATTTATTGAGTACTCTTAAATTCTTGGGATAGTGATAAACAAAACTGAGAAGGTTCTTCACATCATGAACCTCACGTTCTAGATTTGTTTCAAAGTCTAAACTGTATATTGGAACTATGACAATACCAAATAGATCAACTTTAAGGTATATACATGTGACTTGACAATAGTAACCTATTTCTTGAAGACTATAATTAAACCTCATGGTGATTCAGAGTCATAACAATCATAAACATTACTTTTTGTGTACCATTTCGTTAAATGATGTCTTATGGAACCTTAAAATTTGATGAGATGTTTTCCTTTTTACTAAACAGAGATTTCTAAGCTTTTTGGAGCGATTTTATCGGCTATTTATAGTTTCTCTGCTAATATCTTCATTGTGAAGTTCTCAGTTTCCACTTGTAGATGCTGCTATTGTGCCTACCTTTGTTATATGTGTTAACCTTCTTGTCTGCTTCAAAACTAGAAAAATATTATTATATAAAGATATAAAAATCTGAGAACAGACTACCCAGGGATAAGATATATTACCTTTAACTATATTAAGTATTTCTTTAGGGGTCTTAGCTATAGTCCACATAGTTGCTACAAAACTATGCTATTAATTTACAGATATATTACAAAACAAGTTTTAAAAGTCAATAACTGAACAACAAAGTCACAATATCATACCACACTAAGTTCCAGATATAATTAATTTTCAAAAAAATATCTTTTAACTTATTTTTTGCATTGTAAATATTGCTATAGTTGTTTTTTTTTTTTTTTAAAGATTTACTTTTTGCATACAAGAGCTGGGTATAGGCCAGAGGTGTGGGGGTAAGAGGATTCACCAGAGACAGAGTGGGCAGATCTACTGAAATACACTGCTGAGGGGAGTAATGGGCGAGACAGGAGAGATCTGCTGCACCCATGTGGGTCACCTCCCTGTCAGGGATTGAACTCGTGCTGCAGTGGCTGCTGATAGTTTCACAGTGCTGCGACTTAACCCCTTGCACCATCAGTGAGGCCCTAAATATTGCTATAGTTTTAATTATATTTTTCTAAAACCATTAAGGATATACCTTACTAACTACAATAAAATTACTGATCAGGGGCCTCCCTGGTGGCGCAGGGGTTAAGTCTCAGCACTATGAAGCTATTGCCAGCCACTGTGGCATGAGTTTGATCCCCTGCCAGGAAGTTAAGCCACAAGGCACAGCAGACCTCTCCTGTCTCGCCTGCTGCTCCCCTTAACAGTATATTTCAGACTCCCCACTCTGTCTGTGGTGAATCCTCTCACCCCCCACACCTCTGGCCTATACCCAAGTTCTTGTATGCATAAACAAATAAAAATAAATCTTAAAAAAAAAATTACTAATCAACACTATACTAAACGGCATAAATGATAGTATATATTTCTATTAATGATCAGTATAGCTGGCTTTATGAAGATATGTGTTAAGATCATGATTTCAACTCATTCAAAAACTATGAAATCAATTATAAATAATAAATAGAGAATACTAACTTTAGAGTTTGCATAGCCATACTTAAGGAGTTATAAAGAGATGGTTCTCCATTGCAGGTCATATCTACAGCTTTCTTCAAAGATGTTACATGTTTCCTTGGGTTTCCTAATATAGAAATGGGATAATCTTTTAAACTTTTACTTTCAATAAAAGCTTATAAATACATTATGGAAATTAACGCTTTCCCAAAACTTACAGATTCTATGATGTTAAAGAACAGAACACTTCAATTTCTATTTTTGACAAGTTGTACTTTTATCTGAAATGTTTATTATATAAAGTCTCACTTCATACTGAAAAATAGAATACCAATAATTTTTTTTATTCTTTAGTGTGCATTTTAAATATTAACCTAGAGTATATAACTTTTTTACTATTTCCCTATTTCATTATTGTTAAGGTTAATACATTTTCACATTTTAATAGCTCTGAAATCATGTGTCTTTCAATTATTGTCAGCTCCCTGTGACACAGCTCCAGTACGAATCTATGAAGGCTACTGATGGTTGCTTCAACTGCACTATGTACATCATGCTATTCATGTTGAGTTTAACTACAATTTAAAGTGTTTTCGGAAAGGTTATTAATACAAAAGGTCATATTTTTAAGTAGAAGGACAGACCAGTGAGGTATAAATTTGTTTTAGTATATGTGCTACCGAAGTGAGCACGAGGTATAAATTTGTTATTAGTGGAGCAAAAATTCAGTGATGGAAGAATGCTTGCAATTCCATTATTTGTCTTCTGGGAGAAAAAGCAAAAGCTTTATAAAACCTAAGAAAGGAAGATTTCCATAAATAGACACAGCTGTGTTATCTTTGATTATAAAATAATACGTGAAAATATTATCTAACTCATTTCACACAATGTAAGTGAAAAAAAAACAGAAACTGACAAATACTTTAAGAGTTGATTTTGTATTAAGGTTTTTTTTTTTTTTTTTTTTTTTTTAATAGAGGCATGTTTTTATTTATTTATTTATTATATTTGTTTGTTTTGTTTATACATGCACTGGGTACAGTCAGAAGCGCGGGAGGGTGAGAGAATTCACCAGAGCCAGAGCGGGGAGCAGAGCAGGCAGAAGGGCTGAAGTACACTGCTGAGGGGAGCAGCGGGTGGCAGGAGAGGTCTGCGCACCATGTGGGATCCTCCTCCGGTGGCCGGGGAGCAGCCGGGGATTGAACCGGCGCCGCAGAGGCCGCGGGCAGCTTCGCAACCCAGCGCTCAACCGCTGCGCCACCGGGGAGGCCCGATTTTGTATTAAGGTTTAACTGCTAAGTGTTTCCTTCTTGACGGGTCATAAAATAAAGTATCTAATAAATGAATCCGAAAGTCAATGATATTGGTATTCTTCAGACCTTTTCTCCTATTTCGATACTGTCTTCATATTAATGATAATCAAAATACCATTAAATTGATTTTATCTTATAATTCATGAAAATACTCCCATACTGTTGAACATTTAAGTTATTTCTGATTTATTACTATTGTACATACTACCACAAAAAGTATTTGTAGAATATGGCTTTTCCTCTTTTACAGCATTTCCTAAGTATCATTCTAAGGAATAACCATTTTTATGGCTCTTTAAAAAAAAAAAGTTAAACTAATTAACCAGACCATGGGCACTTATAAATACCAGTTTCTCTATGGGCTATATTACTTTTGAAATTTCATTTTGCTCACCTAAGATATATAAAATAATAAAATATTGTTGAATGGTTTGTATTTACTTTTAATCACTTACTTAGATAAAGTTTCTTTTTAAATAGTTATTTAGTTCCTCTTTTTCTTCTAATATAAAGTAACTGTCTTCTTTGTTCATTCATCTACTTGGAGTCTGAATTTATCATATTTATCTGAATAAGTATTAAAACATTAACCACTTGCCACAACTAATACATATCGCAAGTTTCTGGACTCATAACATTTTAGAGATGAAAAGTACTTAAGTTCAAATCCCCCACTTCATAAGTGAGAAAAAACCTACTAAGTTGAATGTTTTCCCCAAAGATATAGGTCTATGATAGGATAAATACTTAAACCTAATTTCATGTCCCTCTATCTAATTTTCCTTCTACTATATCATAAATTTTTTTTTAAATCTCCCACTGTGGTGTCAGCTTAGGCAAAAAAGTTTGGTGTAGTAATTATGATCAGAGAAAAAGAGTGTGACTAAAGAGGCCATCTCAAGATTCTGAAGATTTTTCATCTCTATGCGTATATATGAATTCCCTGGCACTCATGGAAAACTACTATAATTGGGGAGGAGGGTTGGCCCCACATCCTTCCCTTGGGGGAACCATCCTTACCCCAACATATAACAATTCAGCTTAGGTCATGTAGTTAAGGTGGAGTTCACCTAAGCTCCAGGCTTAGGCAGCTTAGGCCTACCAACGAAATTCTTTATTCCCCTAGACACTTTAACTGTTCATAGATGGGCAGGTCATGAGCAGGATCAAGACAAGTCCTCTTAAAAAAAAAAAAAGAAAGAAAAGTCCTCTTTGGGACTTGTACTGAAACTATCCATCCGAGAGTTGGGGCTATTACACAGCTTTTCACCTCAAAGAAAACCTATCAGAGAATAAAATAAGAGACAGAGTCAAGACCACTGGAAATAACTATATGTATAATCAGCTCACCTTTAAACATGAGTCAATAATTTCCCTTTTACACTTAAGCTAGTGTGTGATTTTTTTCTTGTTACTTGCAACTGAGTTTCTTGGATCACTCTATGCTAACATACATTTCATTCCTTTTCACCATAATGAAAAAGAATTAATGATGAAAGTATGTCACTTCCTTTATGTGAATTCATGAGGATGAAAGATTGATAATCACATTTAAGGGACAGAGTATTTCACAGAAAATAAAGTAGAATTAATATTGTAAATTTGTAACAGTACAAATACTAAAGCAAACAAAATCTACCATTACTATCTTTTAAGAGGATAAAATTAAAGTTAAGCATATTATGCAAGCAAAAGGTAACAGTAACTACAATTCAATTTTTATATTCTTTCCTCTTTATAGTAGAGAAATTTAACTTTAAAAAATTAATTTTAAGATTAAGTGAATTTCTTAATGGTTACAGTAATTTTATCTTAATACTTGCAATGTAAGAATGTACAGATCTTAAACACATCTACCTCTATAGTGATAATATTCCTCATTGTGCAGAACTCAATTTAAAACAGTTTACTTTGATATCAAGAATTTAATGGAGGATTTATTAGGTGTTTCACCTAGATAGCATATAGGAAAGTTTCATCCTAATAGGCAACCTTATGAATAGGGTTACAAGGTTGGGTAAATGAAGCCAAAGCCCATGAGTTCTATAAAGGTAATTTCATGCATACCTGAGAGTTCTGTCATCTTTTCAGCTCTTTTACTCTTTGTTACAATTATTCCAATCTCAAAATAAAAACAAAAATGATTATTAATTTTACAAATTATTTCTTAATAAGAATGCACATAATTAAATTACTAATTACAGAAAGAACACATAAGGTGTGAAACTTCCTCATGATACTTTTGACAAATTTATCTATGAGTTCATACTATTTAACTTTTAGTGTTATCTTAATTTTCATTGATAAGAGTACAGGAAACAGATACACATCTGGATCACATAATAATTCACAGAATACATGCCAATGTTTTAAAAATAAATTACATTCAGTAGTAATATCAGGAATCTAATTCTGAATTCCATTACTTATACACATACCTGACTGATAGGATTTTGATCAAAATATTCCTCTACAAAGTATTCCAACAACTGTTCAAAGAACACAAAAAGGAAACAATGTATGATTAAAATTAATTAATCTTAAAATTAATCTTAAAATTAAATAAAAATTAATCTTAAATTGATCTTAAATTAATAAATCTTAAAATTAATCATTCATGTAGAAGATAAAGAAACAAAAAAATAGCAAACAAAACAGATTCTGAGAGTATGAGAACAAACTAGTGGTTACTATTTGTGGGGGAGGGGAGTAAATCAGGTAAAGGGAGTTAACAGTACTGTGGTAGATGGAAACTAGATTTTTGATGGAGATAATAATGTAGTATATACAGGTATCAAATTATGATACTATATAATGTTACTTCAATAAAATGTTTTTTGTTAAAAAAGGAAATACTTGATAAAGGCAAAATAACAACTACAGAGAACAGGTTTTGTGAAACATACATATCAAGTACAGCTTATCATGATTTTTAAGCTTACAGATTTTCAGAAAATGTTTAGTAACAAATATATTAAATAAGTGAAAACAATGCACTTTAAAGTACCTAAATGAATAAAAATATTATATACTAAATATTATATAAATTTTATAATATATAATATAAATTTTAATTTGAAATGGCAAACAATGAGATAGGTTTGAGCTAGCCCTTAAAAGATGGATTCATTTAGGGGCCTCCCTGGGTGCAGGGGGTTGGGACACAGCACTGTGTCCACAACCACTGCAGCCACAGTTTGATCCCCCGTGGGGGGGGGGGGGGCGCTCCACATGGCGCGGCAGACCTCTCCTGTCTTGCCCGCTGCTCCTCTCAGAATGTATTTCAGAAGATCTGCCTGTTCTGTTCCCCACTCTGTCTCTGGTGAATCCTCTCACCCCTCCGCACCTCTGGTCTGTGCCCCAGTTCTTGTATGCATAAATAAATAAATCTTAAAAAAAAAACAAGATGGATTCATTTAGACATATCATATAGAAACGATCTAAACAAGGAAAAAATGCAATGAAGACAGAAATAGGAGAATGACTGAGGATGGTTTTGATAAATTAGGAATAATCTAAATGTGTTTACAATTCAAAGAGGAATAAAGATTCAAAAGAAAAAAGATAACTGATAAAGCAAAATTCTGATTTCGGATGGAAGGGTACAAATTAAGCTCAGAAATAATTAGCTATTCTGGTGTATTATTTCCCTCAATGATTTAGTAGCATTTCCACTTGGCTAGTTTGTATTGACTCTTTTTTTTTTTAAAGATTGATTTATTTATGCATACAAGAGCTGGGGTACAGGTCAGAGATGCAGGGGGTAAGAGGATCCACCAGAGACAGAGTGGGGAACAGAACAGGCAGACTGACTGAATACACTGCTGAGGGGAGCAGCGGGTGGGTTGCTCCCTGGCCGGCCGGGTATCGAACTCATGCTGCAGAGGCTGCAGATTGCCTTATAGTGCAGTGCTTAACCCCTCACACCACCAGAGAGGCCCCCTGCATTGACTCTTTTAAAAAACAGTGCCTTCTTTAAAGAGTTTCAGAATTCTGAGTCTTTCCTCACATTTAGCATAAATTATAATGATTTTACTATACCTTTAAAGTACATGTCAGTCTGTTTGGCTTTAAATCTTGGTCTTCCATTGTTCTTGATCCATCTACTACCACATAAAGATGGCGCATCTAACCAAAAAAAAAAAACCGGAAAAAATAAGGACAACTTTCAAACAAAAATTTCAAATAAAATTTTTAAATTTTTTTCATTTAATATTCATATATTCTATATATTTTTTAAAACATACTCTTTTGAAAGGTATGCTATTTTAATATTATTTATTCTATCAAGCCAGAATATTCTCTAACCCAAACTAGTTCTGTGCCAGCAAAGAAAAACTGAAATAACATACCATTCCAAGTCGAACTTGTCCATGGTGCTCAAATACTCTGTTAAAATTATGCAAACATTTTAATGGAATACCATATATTATACTATCCAAAAAAAAAATATCAATAAAACTTTTCAACTAATTGCATTTTTTAGTGAGGTAAATTATTAATTTCTGGGATCCCATAATAAATGGTATTTTGGATAGTGCCTGAAGCCCCATGTTCCTGCTAAAACACTGGATGGCTACTTCCTTCCCCCTAGTCAGAAAGCTAAAAGGTCAGTTCTCAGAAACACAGGTGAAATAAAGTACTGAGGAGTGGGTATAGGTGGACAGAAAATAATATAATTTTCTTTTTGTAACACACTTTAAAAAGTTTACATACCTTGGGCCTCCCTGGTGGCACAAGGGTTAAGACGCAACCTATGAAGCTATCCGCAGCCACTTCAGCATGAGTTCAATTCCCGGCCAGTCAGGGAGCAAACCACATTGCGCAGCAGACCTCTCCTGACTCACCCACTGCTCCCCTTAGCAGTGTGCTTTGGTCAATCTGCCTGTTCTGTTCCCCACTTTGTCTCTGGTGAATTCTCTTACCCCCCCGCACCTGTGGCCTGTACCCCAGCTCTCGTATACATAAATAAATAAATTTTTAAAAAGTTTACATACCTTTTTCTCTTTGCTTTAAAGAGAATGTCTTCTATGGTAGCTTTAAGTGATCCTGATTCATCTTCTTTAAGTATCTCCCTATAACCAATAATTATTTGTTTGAAAAGATAAACTAAAAACAAAACAAAAACAAACTAAAAACAAAAACCCAAGAGAAATGAAAGCATGTTCACATAAATATTTGCACATGAATATCGACAGTTGCATTATTCACAAGAGCCAATAATTTTTTTTTTTAAAGATTTATTTATTTATACAAGCACTGGGTACAGTCAGAAGCACAGGAGGGTGAGAGAATTCACCAGAGCCAGAGCGGGGAGCAGAATAGGCAGACTGATGAAGTACACTGCTGGGGGGAGCAGTGGGCGCTGCAGGAGAGGTCTGCGAGCCATGTGGGACCCTCATCAGCGGCCGGGGATCAAACCGGTGCTGCAGAGGCTGCAGGCATCTTCGCAGCCCAGTACTTAACTGCTGCGCCACCAGGGAGACCCGATTCACAAGAGCCAATAATTATAAACAATCTAAATGTCCATCAGCTAGTGAATGGATTAAAAAAAAAAACATGGTATAACCACATGGATGAACCCTGAAAACAATGTATTAAGGGAAAGAAGACAGACAAAACTGATCACATATTAGTAGTAGATTAGTGGTTTCCTAGGGCTAGAAGTAGGAATGGAATTCACGTGAAATGGAAATGAAGGCTCTCACTGAAGTGGTGAAAATAATCTAAAACTGACTTATGGTGATTATTGTATAATTCAGTGAACTGAAATGTGTTAAATATTTTAATAAAATTTTTAAAAATAAGGCCTCCCTGGTGGTGCAAGGGGTCAAGTCTAGCACTATGAAGCTACTGCCAGCAACTGTAGCATAAGTTTGATCCCCAGCCAGGGATCTAACCCACATGGCGAAGCAGACCTCTCCTGTTTCACCCAGTGCTCCCCTCAACAGTGTATTTCAGTCAATCTTCCTGTTCTGCTCCACACTCTGTCCTGGTTAATCCTCTCATCCCCTACACCTCTGGCCTACACCTCAGCTCTTATATGCATAAATAAATAAATCTTAAAAAAAATAAAGTTATAAAAAATAAATAATGCCTAAAATAGAGAGTAATAATGCCTTACTTACCATGTTCTTTCATAGCCTCCTTCCCACCGCTTAGTTCTTTCAGGTTCTTCATCCATCTTTTTTCCAAATTGTATTATATTATTCAAAATCCTGTAAAAATCATTAAATTGTGAATTTTCTAAGGATGTCTGTCACCAAATGCATACAAATTTGAAAAGAAAGTAAAAAATATGTTATTCAAAAACTCAGCATGGAAGTTCATCATATTCTTTATAATTCACAATTCAGCAATTGTTGCTGGATAAAAGTATTAATACTTTACAAAATCCTCATGAATCTCTCTCCCATACCCAAGAAAGAGTATCAACATTTATGCACAAATTTGGTAATTCCAGATATAAGCATAATTTCACCAAAACATAAAAACATTATAGATGTAGCAAAGGATAGGACCATTGAATTATAGGAAGTAGGTATGGTGTGGATGAAGTATGATTAGCTACAGTCATTATAGCTGGACTAATGGATACATGCTGATTCATTATACAATAGGCTCCCCCCAACTCCAGCCACCACTTATCCAGCTTCATTTTCAGTTACCTGCAAACAATCATGGATCAAAAATATATAAAATGTATGTTGAGAGACTACATTTATGTAACTTTTACAGTCATGTGTTGCTTAATGACTGGGCTACTGAGAAATGTCATTAGGCAATTCCATCATTGTACAAATATCAGAGTGTATTCACATAAACCTAGATGGTATAGCCTAGTACATACCTAGGCTATACATAGGGTTCATGTTATTGACTGAAACCACATTATATAGCACGTGACTATAATCCAGCATACTATTATAACAGTTCTATTTTAATCTCTTAATGTGCTAATTAAATAAGTATACATATACATATGTATACTTTATATACACACTATGCTTCTTTCTGCAACAAAGGATAGGACCATTGAATGATAGGAAGTGGGTATGGGTATAGATGAAGTAAGATTAACTACAGTTGATTATTATATGTATGTACATTATATGTATGTACACATGTGTTTACATATGTATACTTTGTATATACATTATGCTTCTTTCTGTACATGTATGTGTTCTTTATGTACATATATACACACATACATAGAGACAGACCAGAATTATCAGTGGTTTCTGTACATGTATGTGTTCTTTATGTACATATACACATACACACAGAGACAGAATTATCAGACTTCAGAATTATCAGATGAAGATTAACTACAGTTATTATATTATTATATGTATGTACATTACATGCATGTACATTACATGCACGTACACTATATGTATGTGCACATGTTTACGCATGCATACTTCATATATTATGCTTCTTTCTGTACATGTATGTGTTCTTTCTGTGCATACACACACACACACACACACACACACATAGAGACAGACTTCAGAATTATCAGTGGTTTCAGGCATCCACTATAGGTCCTGGAATGTATCCTCCAAGGATAAGGGGAGAGTATTCTACTACCTCTTCACCTCAATGTATGTGTGAACTTTTTCAAAATCTTAAGTTTTTTAATTAATGTGTTAACTTTTATAAATGGCAAATGCTTATGACTCATAATTATACAATATTAAATCTATATATAATATTTAAAAGGATACAATATTAACCCTATATACTATGACATCAACTATTAAAAGATAAAGAAAGATATAGACATTCATTAAACAGGAGTAATGATTTCATCTGGATACAGGATCAAGGGTGACTGAGTTTTTTGCTTTTTACTCTCTTCTGTATTTTTTATATTTTCAATATGAACATGCATTCCTTTAATGACCAGGAATAAAATTAGTATTGGGAGGAACCCATTAGCCAAAATTAATTAAAATGAACATCCCTATCATATCATACCTCTCTCCTCCCCAAAGGAGTATCTGTCCCATTCCCTGCTCTCACTCAGCTTCCTTCTTCCATAAATGATCACAGGACATATGGACAAAACAATCCCATCAAGGGCAGAGAAGAAGTTTTTTTGTGTTGAGGATCATAACCAAGACTTTATCTTCCATTTATACAGTTTTTACAGAAAAATACATTTTAAAATCTAAATTGATCTATAAAAGGTCTTGTGGAATTAAAATCTATTGACAATTTGGAGAGTGCTTTAAGGCATCTCTGCTTGCTGTGGCAACTTCTACAATCAGATTATTTGTTAAATTTCTGTATGTCTCTCACTGAATTAACAAGCCACTCCCTATCATTGGGAGAGATTCATTTATTTCTGGAAATCTGGTGATTTACTTTAGGATTCTGAGTAACTAGAAGTGGCTCATTTCTAACATCTGCACTATTGCAACAGTTAACTATGTTGGTAACTTGCAGGTTTAGTGAGTGTGGTAACATGACATAAAGCAACTAAATAGAACTTTTCTATTTTCCTATGTTTCGTATTAACTGTGAAAGTAAAAAAATCAAAGGTTCACAATAACATGTTCAGTGTTTTAAAGCTCAAATTTTTATAAGCATGGCTATTGCCATCCATCATATCAATAAACTGCACTTTGTTTTTATTATTTTTAATTCTCTAAAAGCTCAGATACGAAATGAGAGGTTCCGAGCAGGAAGTCTTCTGACTCGTTGCACACAAGGACTAGATGTTGCCCGGAAAGGCAAATAACAGGGATAGAATGGAGGCCCCTGTAACAGTAGCTGTTCTAAGGGAAGGTAGATATTTACAATCTATCCTGTTAAAGGATTTAAGCATCCTGGAGAAAGATGTACTTGGTGACCAAGAGTCAGCATCACCCAAGGCCTATGACTTCTCAATATTTCATCTTCTTAAAATTTTGCTGATTCTTTCTCTGGGAATCCGAAACCAGAAAAGCCCCTTGCCCCCTTAGAAGACTGTTGGTGTGACTCCCATCACATGAGCTTACTGCTACCTGCAAACAAATAAGATCCGCACCAAACACCGCAATTTATGAAGCTTTTCCTCACACCTTACCCTGCCAAGCGCTGTGAAACAGGCAAGGGTGATTGCTGTTCCGGCCTTAAAGATGTGGAACTCGAGGCGCAAAGGTGGTAACTCTCTCGAGGCCACAGAGCAGGAGGCCGGTCACAAATTCGAAACCAGAACCACAATTCCCAAAATTGGCGCTCTAGCTTAGAGAACGGTCGTTCCCCAGGGGCTTCTGTGCAGCTCCCCAGACGGATAAAGCCCTCCCGCCTCCACGAGGCCCCTCACATCCCTACGAAATAGGACGAGGTCATTCAGCCTGCAACCCGACTCGAAGTCCCCTCCTTGCCGGAGAACCCCAAGCGGCGGCCCCCGCCTCAGCTCTGCACAAAACCCTAACCGGGGACTCACCCGTCCTGCCCGACGCCGCTCTGACCGGAAGCCCCGCCCCAGCCGCTCTAAGAACGCCTCCGAAGTCCTTCCGCTGGGCAGAGCGGCGACGCAGAAACGTTCCGGCTGCTGCGGGCTGCTGTGGCCGGAGTGGGGAGCTCCCGGACCGCGGCCCTTCCACAGCTTGGGGTTGGGGGGGAACCGCCTTCCTTCTTCCAGCTGCTTCACAAAGAAGCAGTAAAAGTGATCGCATTCGCTCTCGCAAGGTAGGACGCCAGGTAATCTTCTACCTAGAATCTGAGGTGCTTGGTTTTGTTATTTGTAAAAGGTTTCATGAAAGACTGTGCAGGTTGCTGCAGTAGCGACAGCTAAGCCTGAAGCTGCTGTGCAAAGGTTTTCCAGGACTCCTCTGTTGCTCTTGCCCGTCATGCAACAATATTTATCAAGCACATACTTTGGGCCTAATATAGGTCTGGGCACTGAGGAAATAGAATGACAAAGATCTTTCCCGTATGGAGTTTTCCTTATGCTATGGAGACATTTATCAAGAACATACTGTATCATACAGTAATAATGCCATAGAGAAAAATTACGCGGGGGGGAAGAAAACAGGTTGTGGTTTAAAACAGCATGGTCTGAGGAGACCTCACTAAGAAGACAGCTGTGGCATGACCCGAAGAAGGAAGGGAGTAACCATAATAGGGAAAGATGTCTCAAGGCAATGGGAACTGCAAGAAACAAAGGCCCTGAGGTAGAAGCACATTGGTGTGTTTGAGGGACTGCATGAAATAAGCAGGGGTTGAGTGCTTTCTGCTGAAATCAGAGAAACGGGGGCCTCTGAACATTGTAAGAACTTTGGAGAGATAATAGTGATGGCTTGGGTAGTGTAATACGGCAGTGAGAGGTGGTTGGATTTTCGATCTTGTCTTTACACTGGATATATGCTATGAAAAAGGAATCAAAACCAAATTCCCAATTTGAAACTATACAACAAAGGATACTAACCAAAAGAATAAAAACAAACACAATTTAATGTTGATCATTACAACAGAATGGAGAGCCCAGAAATAAGCCCACATATACATGGACAACTAATATATGACAAAATAATCAAGAATTTAAAATGGAACGAGGAAAGTCTCTCAGCAAATGTGTTGGGAAACGGGACAGCCACATGCAAGACAGTGAAACTAAACCACTGATGTTATACACAAAAATTAATTCAGAATGGACTGAAGACTTGGACGTAATACCAGAAACCATAAGTTTATATAGGAGAAAGTATAGGTGATACACCCTATTACATCAGCCTTAGAAATATCTTGGATTTTATCAAAATCAACAAAAAACTATGAACCAGAGACACTCTATGGGGGGTGGGGGGCGGGGAGGGGAGGGATTGGGGTCAAAATAAGGGGATTGCAATTGTATGGGGAATATAAAAATAAAATTTATTTAAGAAAAAAAAAGAAATATCTTGGATTTTAAACCATAACTGTATAGAATATAAGCCATATCCTTTATGACATCAGCCTTAGAGATGTTTTGGGTACTCAATTCCAATGAAAAGGGAAATTAAAGCAAAAACGAACAAATGGGGGCCTCCCCGGTGGCGCAGTGGTTGAGCGCTGGGTTGCGAAGCTGCCTGGAGCCTCTGCAGCGCTGGTTCGATCCCCGGCTGCTCCCCGGCCACTGGAGGAGGGTCCCACGTGGCGCGCAGACTTCTCCTGCCGCCCGCTGCTCCCCTCAGCAGTGTATTTCGGTCCCTCTGCCTGCTCTGCTCCCCGCTCTGGCTCTGGTGAATTCTCTCACCCTCCCGCGCTTCTGACTGTACCCAGTGCTTGTATAAATAAATTAAAAAAAAAAAAACAGCGAACAAATGGGACTATATCAAACTGAAAACTTCTGCGCCACTGAAGAAACTATTATCAAAAACGAAAAGACATCTTACTGAATGGGAGAAAATATTTGCATAGCATACACCTGACAGCAGGTTAATACACAATATGTATAAAGAAATCATAAAATGGGCCTCCCCGGTGGCGCAGCCGTTGAGCACTGGGTTGCGAAGCTGCCTGCGGCCTCTGCGACGTCGGTTCGATCCCTGGCTGCTCCCCGGCCACCAGAGGAGGGTCCCACATGGCGCGCAGACTTCTCCTGCCGCCCGCTGCTCCCCTCAGCAGTGTACCTCGGTCCTTCTGCCTGCTCTGCTCCCTGCTCTGGCTCTGGTGAATTCTCTCACCCTCCCGCGCTTCTGACTGTACCCAGTGCATGTATAAACAAAAAACAAACAAACAAACAAATAAATAAAACATGCCTCTATAAAAAAAAAAAAAGAAATCATAAAATTCAACAAAAAACAACTCAATGAAAATACAGGCAGAGAATCTGAATAGACATCCAAAGGAGACATATAAATGGCCAGTAGATATATTAAAAGCTGTTCATCTCTTATTTTTCGGGAAAGGCAAATCAAAACAGCACTGAGGTATCACCTTATACCTCTAAGAATGGTTATTATAGAAAAGAAGTAGCAAGTATTGCTGAGATGTGGAAAGGAACCCTGTACACTGTTATTGGTAATGTAAACTAGTGAAGCCATTATAGAAAACAGTACAGAGATTCCTCAGAAAACTAAAAATAGAAATTCCGTATGATCCAGTTACTCTTTTTCTGGGTATTTACCAAAAAAATGCAAACACATAAGTTTGAAGAGTATATGCACCATTAATTATTTGTAATAGCTAAAAGCTGGAAACAACCTAAGTGCCCGTCAATAGATAAGCGAACAAAGATGTGGTACACATCAACATACGTGTGTGCCTATATATACAGAGGACAGTATACACACACACGGAATACTACTCAGCTATGGGGACAGACGAGATCCTGCCGTTTGCAACAACATGGATGAATTTAGAGGGAATTATGCTAGTGAAATATATCAGATGAAGAAAGACAAACACCATATTCTTCCACTCATGTGGTACAGAAAAACTAACCAAAAAATTTGAACGAAATAGAAAATAAACTTTATAGTACTGCAACAGGGTGGTCCCCAGGAAAGGGGGAGGTTCCCTGCCCCACCCAAGGGAGGGTGGAGTTGAGCAGCAAGAGGAGAAGCAGAAGAAGAGACTGAGGAAGGAAGCAGGATGGAGCCAGGAGACCTGGAGGAGGCGCGTGGAGCCTAGAGACACGTGAAGAAACTGCGCTTGTCTTTTGGTCGTGGACTGGGTGACACAGATGTGGGTGAGACCCGTGGGGAGGTGACAATGGCAGCTTTTATCTTGATGTTGATTTTGCTCTTTTCCTTCCGGGCTTGTCCAGTTGTTTGTGACCCTTTTCTGTGGGTCCCCACTGGAAGATGCTTTAGTCTTGTGGCAGGCTTTGGGGCCTTGCTTTGGGCCAATCCCATATGGATGGACTTTTACCCACGAGGGGATGGGTAACTTTGGGTGCTTCATTTAGAAACTAGACTCTTTGCCTCACCTGTATTGTTTCCTAGTTTTTATTAAAGTTCCTTCCCATTAAAGTCTCCTATGTTTTGTGTTGATGCGGCGGATGGCAGAACCCATTTAGAATAGGCAGGTTTGCGGGGTTTGGGCTGCCCCTCTCCCTGTCCTATAACAGATTTGGCGACCACGAAGATTTAGGACAGAGCCATCCGTGGTTAGTCAGCCCCATGGGGAAATTGGGCTTCCCTGTGGCGCTGGCTACCATAAGCGCAAATGTGATTTTTGGTTTCTCCGGTGTGTTTGTTTCATATGTCGATTTGCTGTTGAAAAACTGGCTTGGGCTTTGTGAAGATCTGTGTGTCTGTATGTAATTTGTTTGTAGTGACTTGCTAAGACATTTGATTTTGTGGAAATTGTTCTGTGCCAGTTTTACTCAAAAGATTAGGCAGTACATTGGACCATGTGGCCAGATCAAAGATGGCGTCTGAGGCCACTTGGAACTTTTTTTTTCTTTCTTTTTGTAATCTCTGCTGTCTCATTAGCATTTCTAAAGGCAATAATGGTTCTTCAGTGGTATGTTGCTTTGTCTTTGGCTACTTCCTGCTCTCTGCCTGATGGATTTTGCAAGCCAATTGTGGAGCAGTGGTGTTTTAATTAGCAAATGTATGCCTGGGTGTTAAGGAAAGAGTAGCCTTAAGCAGTAACTGGTAATCTCTGGTATCCTTGATGGATTCTTGGAGATAACTTGAATTTTTGCAAAGTCTGGATCAGAAAAATTAACAAGATTTTGTCTGAGTCTGAAAGGATTTGCTACTGTGAATTTTGTCTACACAATTTGTTTTGGGCATGTTTGCCATTTTTGAATACTGGATTTGTTCAATTGCTGGTGTAAGACAAGATTCTAAGTTTCTGCTTCCTACTGAGGAAGGTCTGTTATGGAAAGCACTCTTTAGGGTGCATCATGTAACTATACCAGGTTTTCATACCTGTGTTGTTGTTGCCCCTCCCTAGTGTGGGGGAGGTGTAATCTGTGCTTAGATGTTTAATCTGCTCTTTCAGCTTCTGTCCCAGAGTGGCTAACAGAAGTAAGGAGATGACTCCTTTTAATTGAAAGTTAATTACTAATAATTTGATTTTGCTTTTTCAGGTTCTATTCCAGGAAACCCAAGGAGTGCCTGCTTGGTGGCTAACAAGAAATGACTCCTTTTGCTTAAAAGTTAACTGTTATTTTTATTCTTTCAGTTGCTGTACAGAATACCCCAGGATTGACTTCTAACAAAAAGTCTTCAACACTGAAAACCCTAATGTGATAAACAAGGTCGTGTAACTCTTGTGATTAATAAAACTTTTCCTTCCTATTTCCAAAGTCTTAGGTTTGTAGGATGACAACCGCAAATTTTTCTGCCAGCAACACTCCACATTTTTTTTTGGACTTTGACATTTTTTTTTCTGAGCCTATCGAGTAAAACTGCAGTTACATAACATTCCACGTGGCATAACTAAAAAAAAAAAAAACTGTCTTTGTCTACATGTTGTATGTCTGTATGTCCTTGT